CGTACCTCGTAGTAAGGTCTGTGCTGTGTGCATGTGGGTCGAGATTAATCCTGGGATGACAATCCGACCGGAGAGATCATACTCTTCATCGGCTGCATATTTTTCCTTGAGGGTATCTGTCTTGCCAATATCTGCAATGCCATCATCAACTACGCGGATTGCTCCGTCGATAATTATACGTCGTGAAGTATCCACGGTCACGACAGTGGCATGAGTGTAGAGCATGGCGAATCGTCTGATGGGTTTGAAAACAAGTCCGAAAGAGACTCCTGGCCAAGTTCGTAACTAATGAAGCATACCCCAAAGAACCTTCATGGGGTTTATATTGGCAAATCCGATATCCCCCCGCAAAAAAAAAGGAAGGCGGAATCTGCCGATGTACGAAAAGATCCGCGTTGAGGGGCGTGATAAGATAACAAATGAATCTCGGAATTGACACATTTCTCATGACATGGGGAGAACTCCGAGATTATCGAGTATAGTGGAAAATGTGGTGGTACATGTTAAGTGTCAGTCTTTGAAGCGAGGTATTCCAAATTTGCTTGTGTCAACATTCAAATAATTCGTCGAGAACTAAACACTAAACTAGAAGCTAGAAGCTCTTCTTCAGCCACTGAGTCTGCGAATTGCAGTACGCAAGCAGGCCATCAAGACCCCATTCCACACCCATGCCACTCTGCTTGTGGCCACCAAAAGGTGCATTCGGCGCCACATCAAAGTGGCTGTTTACCCACACAACACCGGACTGGAGTTGATCTGCCATCCGAGTTGCGCGTTCGAAATCCTTACTCCAGACAGAAGAGCCCAATCCAGTCTCCAAAGCATTTGCACGCTCAAGGACATCGTCCTCGTCTGACCATTTCAGGACGGGCAGGATGGGAGCAAACGGCTCTTCCTTTACCACGCGCGATGTGTCGGGGGGATTATTGATGATAGTCGGGTGAATGTAGAACCCGGAAGAGTTCTCGATCGAGCCTCCAAGCGCAGCTTTCAGGTTTTCAGTACTAATGCTGCTGAACAGGTCTTTGGCTTTCTCATATTGCATCTGATTTTGAACAGGTCCAAAGAAGGTATCCGCCTCGGTGCCATCGCCGACTTTCAGGGTCTTGACAAATGTGACTAACTTTTCCAAGAACTCATCGTAAATATTCTCGTGGACGTAAAGTCGCTTAATCATCATGCAGATCTGTGAGCTGCAGAGATAAGAAAGAATTCCAATCTTGGGGATAATAGCATCGATATCAACGTCGTCGCAGATAATCGCCGGGTCATTGCCACCCAGTTCCAGTGTAACGTGCTTGAGAGTCTTAGCACATGCAGCCATAACCCGCTTTCCAGTCACTATCGACCCAGTAAAGCTGATCTTCTGAATTCCAGGGTGAGCAGTGAACAACGGGCCGAGGGACTCCTCGCCGCTCAGGCATTGGACCACGCCAGGAGGGAAAAAGTCGGTAGCAAGCTCAACCAGCTTCAAGTCGCAGTAAGGTGTGAAGGGGGACGGCTTCACGATAATGGGGTTCCCAGTGTATGTGGCAGAGGCGATTTTGCCGACGGCCAAAAGGACAGGGAAGTTCCAGGGGACAATGGCACCCACCACGCCAATGGGTATGTGGCGTTGAACAATCTTCCGATCTTCGGTTTCCTCAATGATATTGTCGGTAATCTCAATAGCAGCAAGACCACGAATCCATACACCTGCCATACCCACCTCCACGGTTGATTGACTCAATGGTTTTCCTTGTTCCATTGTGAGGGTCTTTGCGAATCCATCGGCATTAGCGTCAATAGCATCGGCCCAGGCATGCAGAGCTTTACGTCGCTCTTCAAAGGTGGTCTTTGCCCAGCCCTTGAAGGCATCTTGAGCCGCCTTAACGGCCTTGTCAAGATCATCCTGCGTCGAAACTGGCACGGGTGGATTAGGCTGAGTGTTGGCAGGGTTGATCCCATGCCGGGTTTCCGTTGTCGTGGTCAATTGGTTATTGATCACATTTCGGAATGTCTATTTCAGCAAAGATCAGTCGTGGGATCAATGTCGTACATCTTTTAGAGAAACTCACTGTAAAATCCAATGTTTTGGCGTCGGTAGTCATTTTGAGCAGCTTCGATTTTCACCACTAAGTGATTGGGGTTAGGGGTGCGGGAAAGACGGTTTTAAATAGAGCCTCTTGCATAATCTGGGCTGAAGCGATTAGCCACGTATTTTCGCGCGTCGTGGATGCATTCAAACGTTGCAATGGGCCCATATGCCCCGGAAATGGCCTGTTAAGGTCAACTCTATAATTCCGTATGGAGACCTCACTGCATTTATTTGCCCTACTGTTCTCTCGAAATGGCATCTTATTGGACGATCGTTGTAGTGCATTTCCCCTTCCGGCCGTGACATGTTGATCTTGTCTCAAACGTTGCATATTAGGTGCGGGGTACTGAGATTCGACTCAGTTCCCTCATGAAACTTCAATAAATGAACAACCCAACCTTAGAAAAGTATCGGCGTGAGCCTTCGACATCATATAGGTTACGACACATCTCGCAATCCAGGGTTCTAGAGTGGTCTTCAAGCGTTTCCGACGTTGATAAGATCATAATGAAAAGTCACCATGTGCTTGTTAGGTAGCGACAGCCCTCGAGAGTACTGAGCCTTGGGAGGTAAGTGACTCGTCACATCCTTGGATCCGGGCCACCTGATGCATATAGAAGAGCATATCGTATGCCAGCTTCGAATTCTGCATGGTCTCACCATATCATTGTCAATGGGATTTATTGCAACAAATTCCGTTGATTAACCTGAGCAGGTAACGAAGATGTCCATGCTGAAATATGAATCCACACCGCATCTAGGTGGCTCAGCCATATTTCCCCTATCGGGTGGGTCTTTCCTATTTTAGCCGCCGGCTTCCTACTGTTGTAGCTAATATATGGGCGCTTAATCAGGCTCATTGACCAGAGCCACTAAATTATCCATGAATGAATTTAATATATCTCGTGTAAAGTATCTCTTCGACCTGGATCTCTGCGGACATGATGTTCTAGTTGGTGCTGAATAGTCTTCCTGGATTCTTGATCTGTTACCCACTGAACAACAAAGGGATAATCGAGGACTTTAGACAGGATCACGCCTAGGCACAATCATAATGCTCTTCTTGTCAGATTAATTCAACAGTTATACCCATACTGGTCCATAGCACATGGGCAGCATATTTATCGGTGGGGTACATCGTCACACGGCTCCATCAATGACGACATTCTCCATATATAATCTCCTTGCATGTAAATTTCTGAAATAGGGCCGATGCCCTAGCCCTGACCCAGCGACAAGTATTTAAGAGCATTCAGGGGAATTCCGATTGAACATCCGAACACCTTGGAGTCATAGGAATTCACCACAATCTTTTTTCAACCTTTTCGGCCAACAACCACTCAGTTCAAACGGGTATAGAGGAATCCATTCATTCCTCTCCCCACTGAGCTTTATGCCTAGCAGACAGCGACCGTTGTTACTAATAAGAAAACAGATCACCCTTTTACACAGAACCTAACTCGCTGTCGCTGAAAAACAATATCTCCAGGCACGAGTAGCTAATACAAACACAGCAGCTCCCGCCGCCACCAATCCCCCCCACTTGGGGGAATGCTCCGACTGGTCAAGGTATCAACCATCAACCCCTGAAATATCGCTTGCCCTTGCTACCCACCCCCTTCCCCAAACACATAACATAAATCTCTATGATGATTGACCTTCCCTTTCTGCAAAGAATTTGTTGAATCCGTGTCTATCTACATTGTTTCATATTGGTCTCTGAGTTACTGAAATTGTTATTTCTCTGATTTCTAATTTGTCATACCACCATTGCATGATTTATGGCTAATTGATCGTTTTGATTAGACGCACCTATTCACAAATGGGAAGACCTAGGATATATAAGGACAGTCATTGGTATATCTAGTTTAGTTCTTTCCGATCAATGAAAGTTTTCACATTGTGTTTACCGCTGTTTACATGCTTTACATTTGACACACCATGGGTAGAGGGGCTACATTGGCGCTGAAGTATTCAGCGTTCTACCCGTGACTGTTTCTGGATGAACTTTTGTAACCTGGAGTCAGTCCTGTTAGGTAACATATCCAAGTTGGGAGGTAACCCGGATATCTTTTAACATGAATAATTGTGACTAGTTAACTAGCAACGTGTATTAGTTAATCTTATAAGAATGCGGAAGTCCTCAGCGAATCAAAAGTTTTAACAAGACCAGGGACTGGTGAATGAGCTATAATATGTTAAGGTATAAGGTACGACTACAAGATATATTGTGCGCTTATGACGCATCATATTGTTGAAAAAGTATAGTGTCACCAACAAACGGAGATCCGTTTCTAGCGTTATGTTTCAGTTACTCTATGCCTGAATTTAAGATTGGAATATTATGAATATGTAGGTAGTTGAGGTTCAATGCTGTCCATGGACAGTGTAGTGTTACTCCCAGCGGATGAATGCCTTGGCGCACAGACCAACACTCTGTGACATCATCCCGAGTCTCATTCGACAACACAACGGTCAACAAACTCGCAACCTCCATCTCATCATGCCAAAACCTTGTTCATCCTGCCATCATGGAGACGTAGTCTCAATATATATCCCTGTTTGATTTTATAATCTGCATGGACAATCTACCAATAACATGGGTTGTTATTTTAGGTAGAATCTTGTCTTCTGGCCTGTGCAAGTTGACTGGAGACACCTAGAGAAATCGTCTTTCGGATGACGCGCCGGCTGAGCGCCTCTTCGTCAACCTCTCCCGTGCGTTATGTTCGAAGGCGAGTGCTTGGCGTACGTTTTGCTCGACATCAAAGCGATCATAGAAACCACGATACGGAGCTATCTCTGAGCTTATTTAAAGACCCTGATCTCCCCCAACTGTCCAAATACAGATCAACTTACTACAATCTTGTTTGCAACATACATTCTATATCAAACTCCATACCAATTTCATAAATCTACCACAATGTTTCACCGACGTCGCCCCGCTACCACAACTACTCGAACCACCAAACCTACGCTGATGACCAAACTCAAGGGGCGAAACGCGAAGTCGCGCACTGTCAAAACCACGACGACAACGCACCAGAATCCCGTCCACGGCCATCATCATACTGGTCGCACTGGTCCTACCGGTCGTACTGGAGGCCGCTTTGGTCATAGGAACGCCTATGGGCCTCCTACCCATACTCGCCATCAGCGAAAAACCACCCTTGGCGACAAGATCTCCGGCGCTATGTTGAAGTTGAAAGGAAGTTTGACGCACCGCCCTGCAGTCAAGGTAAGGACCGAATGATTTTACTTCAACTTAGACTCGAGCTAATGTGTTTAACCTAGGCTGCTGGAACCCGCCGCATGCATGGCACTGATGGACGTGGAAGCCACGCACACCGTGTCTACTGATTGATACCCTGTACACTATCACGAGTTATGAATGATACATGAAACTTTTGGATTTTGTTTTGTCTTTTCTTCTTTTTCTTTCTTTCTTTCTTTCTTTCTTTCTTTTTTGAGATACTATGATGCGTAACACTGTACCATAAGAGTCAGAGCTTTCAATTCTATCATTGAATATCCCCAGACTTGAGGCTACGTTTGTAATCTCAAATGTAGAAGTAACATCGGTATTGCCTTACATTGTACGTGTATGCATGCACATACACAGAATAGTGGATAACGGAATAGTGGACATAGTCCCACAAGAGATATATAGTCATACCTACGTAAAGAAGTAAGTTAGACCCAGAAGGTGGAGAGAAAAAGATAATGGAGACAAATAAAAACAGAAATCGAAATGATAAACACCTTTTCTCCAACTTTGGAAGACCGGGCCGGTGCGATAACGTGGGTGCGCAGATACCCCACCAAATTTTTACATAAGTGCGGGACTCCCCGATTAGTTACTCACTTGGACACAACATCTTTTCAGTCATATCTATACAATGCCGTCCATTCAAGAGAGCAAATTGGCCTTCATTGGCGGTGGCAACATGGCCTCCGCCATCATTGGTGGCCTCTTGAGCAAAGGCGTCAACAAGCAGAACATCTGCGTTTCTGAGCCGTGGGATGTCAACCGCGAGAAGATGGCCGCACTCGGAGTGCGCACCACCACCTCCAATGTTGAGGCTGGAGGTGATGCCGATTTGGTCATCATTGCGGTCAAGCCCCAAGTCACCAAGGGTGTGTGCCAGGAGCTCGGTGGTGCCTGGTCGCCGCGCGCGACTTTGCCTGTTGTCGTTAGCATTGCCGCGGGTATTACCCTTGACAGCTTGAAGGAATGGTTGACGACTAGCGATAGCCGTACGGCCCACACCGTTCGCGTTATGCCCAACACCCCCGCCCTGGTTGGTGAGGGTGCTTCGGGTGCTTTTGCTAGCACGGATATCACTCCGGATGAGAAGGAGCTTGTCAATGCTATGCTCGGAAGCGTGAGCAAGGCTACCGAGTGGGTGGACCGCGAAGATCTTCTCGATGTCGTCACTGGACTGTCCGGTAAGTCCCCTGCATCAAAAGCCATTCGGCATGCCATCAACGGGTATCAATCTAACCTAATCAGGATCTGGGCCTGCCTACTTTTTTGCCATGGTTGAGCACCTGGTTGCAAGTGCAACTGCTCTCGGCCTCCCCGAAGAACAGGCCACTCGTTTGGCTACACAGACATGTCTTGGTGCTGGAAAGATGTTGGTTGAGAGCTCTGACAGCCCTTCTCAACTGCGTAAGAATGTGACTAGCCCCAATGGCACCACATACGCTGCTCTCCAGACATTTGAGTCTCTCAACTTCAAAGAGATCGTCGACAAGTCTGTCCAGGCTGCCACTGCTCGGTCTGCTGAGCTAGGAAACCCCTCTACCAAGCCATAGAAAGGGCAACTAAACAAAAATGAATAGCTGGAATCTATGTAATGATATCCAAGATACTCATACGAATGAAACAAATAAACAAAATCCAATGACCCCCTATTTAGGTGATCTAATAGTAGATTCCCAAATGTCGGAATCATCGCTCCGACCTTACGTGGCCCGTGCGTATCGGGTTGCTAAACTTGGAACAGCTCGACAGTCGAGCTTCTCCTCCTCAGTTCATAGGCATACTATGTATGTACAATAATGGTTTCTTTTTGGCCCTGGAAGGTGAGATATTCGATAATAAATCGTTTCGCTTTACTGCTGCTAACATTATCAGGGCAATGACACCTCCGCGGCTTCTTTTGAGAAGACCCTATCCACGCTGTCGACTAAGATCGCCCAGGCTACCACGCGACTCGACCAGCAACGACAGTCTTCCCGGCGAATCAAGGCTCTCTGGACCCTCTACTCGACATTTGCCTATCTGTTCTACTCCATCATTCTCGCCCTCGTACTAGGATGGGAGAGCTGGGGAATCAAGGAATATGCAGCCATCGCAGGCGGGCCGGTCCTGTACGTCTGCCTTTAATCTGCACGTTCCCACATCGCTGACATGCAGTTCTTGTTCCTCCAGTATCTACGGTGTGCGCACGCTTAGCTCCAGAATCTTCGACTACCGAATTTCCCGCATCCAACGCCGCCTGGACGATTTCCATAAACAGCGCGAGGAGACCATCGAAAAACTCAAGGTCGCAACCAAGTACAACTCTACCCAGCAACTGCTAGAGAAGTACGGCGGCGAGTCCCCGAAGCCCTCCCCGCGTCCAAAGGGACAAACCGAGAAAGGGAAGCCTGCCCAGCAGCCACAGCATGTGCCCCGTACTGGTCTCCCGCCGCCGCCCACTGCCAATATTCGCCGTCCTCCCTCTGCATCGCAAACCCAGAACGAACCGCCATCACCCGATCATGCCTCTCCGCCTCTAGAGTTAACCCAGGGCGGCCTGCAAACCCCACAGCAGCCCTCTTTCCCACCTCCTTTCTCTCCCCAACCACCCACTGATCAACCCAGCTTTGCACCGAACGCATTCCCTCAGAACGGAGAATCCATCGAACAGCCACATTGGTACGACCGTCTCTTGGATGTGCTACTGGGAGAAGACGAAACCCAACCCCGCAACCGGATGGTCATGATCTGCATCGCTTGTCGGCTCGTGAACGGCCAGGCTCCCCCTGGGATCAAAACACCGGAAGAGCTGGGCCGCTGGAGGTGTGGCAGCTGTGGAGCTTGGAACGGCGTGGAAAGTGAGACAACAAAGATCCTTAACAATTTGCGTCAAGGTGCTGTGCCAGCCGAGGGAACCTGGGAGCCCGTGTCGAAGGCTGAGGCGGATACCCAGTCCTCAGAGAGCACGGAAGAGGGTGTGATGGTGGCTTCAAGTGGGGAGGAACAAGTGGACTCCATTGGCTCTGATGCGGAGGATCAAACAGAAGAGGAACCTAAGCCCGCCCCTGTGCGGCGATCCAAGCGCGGTGCAAAGGGAAGCAAGGCACAGGAGTAGGCCATCTTTCACTACTTTATCTATTTAGAAACGCTTACATTGCTTCCGATGTCACCAAAGACAGTCCAAGTTTAATATTTCTTACATGGTATCTAGCTAAGCAAAATCAAAAATTTCAAACCAAAATCATGAGATCATTCAGAGCACGCCAATTCCCAAATCATTGGCTTCGAGCTCATGTAGGGTTCAAACCAATGGGTGCAACGTCAAGTGCTCAATAGCAACATTGGCAACTTTAACCTCAGCCTCTTCGGCAGAAGCACAACCCTCCACCAGCGCGATCTCAGTCTGATTGACCACCGCCGAGCACCGATACGTAGCCGTGCCTCCAGACTCGACCCTCTTCCTCTTGAAGACCAAGGTCCCAGCTCCCTTTACCATGTTCTGCGCAATGTTCCGCGGATGAACAACATTAACCCCGTCGGCAATAACACGCTGGATGTACCACACCAGTCCGATACGTTCGACGAACGCGTGACACACATCCAGATTGCCCCCACAGTCGATGAAGATCGCCCCAAGAACGCTCTCAATGATGTCCGACAGGAACTTATCCGCACGCAGACGGGCAAACAACTCCCACGGGTACTGGCTTCCATGTTCCAGGGCATCGCGGATCTCAATATGGAGACCTTGGTGCCGCTCGAGACAAGCTTCCCGGGCGGCTTTGATGTTAGGCCCATGAGAGCGGAGGAAGCGCCAGAGGTGGATCTGGTCATAGTGTGGGACGCAGTTGACTTCGCCGTTGGCAAATTGGGTCATGTGGGAGGGTTCGTCTGGTGCGCATAGCTCCATGCAGAAGAACGCGAGGAGGTTGGCGTTCACGACAGAATGCTTGAGCAATGTCATTGGTCCCTGGTCCATTTCCACAGGATGGGCTGCTATCACTGCCATGACGACCATGTCGAGGACGGCGTCACCGAGGAACTCCAGACGTTGGTAGGATTGTGTTGATGTATCGTACTCGCAGGATGCGTGGGTGAGCGCCTCTGTTAGGAGGGCAGGATCTTTGAAAGTGTATCCAATTAAACCGGCCAATCGATGGTGGTTGATTATATTGCTTACGCCTTTGCTTGGTGGTAGGATGAGGGGTGAGATTTCATTCGTGAAGAGGTCGATCTCCGGCAAGAAGCGATGCAAACAGGCTTGCGCTTTGCGGATTCCACCGTCTACATAGGCTGCACCAATGAGGGATTCCACAACATCTGCCAGGACCTTGGTCGATATGTTCCTCTTAGCAGTCGATGGTTCCAACTTGTTCCTGATCAACGGTGCAGTCCATTTACGGGGGGTGAATCGGCTTGTTAGGATAAAGCGGTCAATGCCAGTGTCGAGAGCTGCACGAGCAAGTCGAGTGTTCTGAATGAGTTTGTCACGGCTCTCCGAGAGGTAGCCCTCGTGCCAGTTGGTATTCCGGAAAAAGAGTTGGCAACTAACGGTGAATTTGAGAACCGAGTCACCAAAGAACTCGTATCTCTGATAATTGGTACTGGCCTGTGCAATCGGCGCGCTGATAGCCGTAATAATGTGATCGATTTTTCCGATTGCGACTCCTTTCAAAATGGTATCGTTCAATTGATGTGCGACCAAGGATGCCTCTAGTCGATCCAAAATGGCAGAGATGAAAAGTCCAAAGAGACCCTGTTTTGCTGGGAGTTTGTCGATGACGCAAGCTACAGCAGGTAGAACGTAAGATTTCTTTGGTGCATCTGCCTCTCCATCATCGGTAACATTTATAGCTCGCACTTGGAGGAGATTCCGGCGACGGGGAAGTGATGAACACTCCACTTCAATAGGCGACGTCTTTGTCACCTGGACCGGAACGATCCATTTGTTGAATATCCGTGGCTCGCTGAATTTGGACTGGTCACGGACGATACCCATAGGCGGTGTGGTTGGATTCCTCGAATAGACTTCCAGCGCGGGCTCTTTCCCTTCATACATCGCAAGCCATTGTCCTAGGTGTTCGTGTGAGATATCAGGGATGAAGAGAGCCACGAAGTCGCGGTCGTCTCCTCGCTGGCGCGAGCTGGGAGCTTGAAGATAGAGTGATGTGATCCTTCTCATTCGATCTAGTGTCTCCGCTGTCGTCTCAAAGGTCGACACTTGCGGATCAAAATGCAGTTCCAATGATATTTCGGGGTCCCAGTAGAGAGGAATGGGGTGCGGTGTTGGAGTCAATCTTGGCAAAATTAAGCAGATGGCCAGATCTTCGTCGACAGAACCATTGCTGTATATCTTCAACCGTGTCTGGCACAGCTGACCCGAAGCCCAAGCTTGTGCAAGGTCTACATAAGGGTCATACTGCTCTGCAGCTTGCACAATGGATGGGAGAGTGATCTGGTCAGAGAATCTCAACTCTGGTTTTTCTGTCAATGGCAAGAGGTTGTCGTTCACCAACCCATACGAATACAAAGCTTTGTAGGCTTGGAATGCGGTCTCCTTTCTAGCTGCTCGCTCCGTCCGCCACCAGGATTTCCCGTTTGTACGTCGAACCGTCGGGTGCACAGAATTCGGTAATGTGACCGTACCCAAAAGCAACCCAGCGCTGTTTTCTTGGAAGGAAAACATTGGTCGGTTGTCTGAATACTCGTCAACTGGTAAGACAGCGCAAAAGTGATGCAAGTGCTGCACTGCGTCGTCCGCCGTCAATAGAGCACTGCGAACCAGCTATTAGCAAACATCAAGGGAAATCCTGGGTTGCTATTACCTCGTCTTTTCCACCCAAAGCCTCTCTTCCACATGCTCCTCGCTGGCCTCGAGTTCAAAAACTTCCCGACGCTGTCGCTCATCATCCTGATATGCTTTAATCATAGCTTGCTCTAGCTCCTGCCATTTGTGAAGACTCAACAACTCATCCTCATTTGAGATCATGACAGCATATGTAGATTCTCTATGACGAGCACGCCCACGCCTCTGGATGAAGGACTTGAGGTTTGCAGGCTTGTCGTAACAAATAACCAAACTGCATGCGCTTACGTCAATCCCTTCTTCGAGAACGTCAGTGGCGACAATGAGGTTTTTGCGACCTGCTTTGAATTCGTCAAGAGTATCTCGCTGCATATCTCGATGAAGTAGGTCACCGAGACAGCCCTTGCGGGTTCTATCGCTCGCCCAACCAACATAAGAGGCACACTGGAAGCGATCTCTGGTCTTGGGATGAAGTGATAAAATGCGAGCTAAGACACTGACAGTTGCTCTCTGTTTGGCGAAGAGTAGTCCAGAAAACCCAGGCCTGTCCATTCTTTCGAGGAAGTTGAGAAGCATTTCGAGCTTGATGGATACGTGATTACTCTCCTTGGCTGAAACTGGCGGAGGCATTGCAAGGAGCAGTTCCAACAGGTAAATTCTCTCCATTTGGTCCAAATGTGACATCTCACTAGCATCCTGAATTGAACGCTGAAGTTGGTCAATCGAAGCGCCGATGAAGAAGTCGGCAGCCCAACCTCCCAGCTCCTCATAAATGTGACGGGCGCGCGCCTGGAAGTTCTTCAGTTGCTCGCTACAGAAGGTTTTACCTGTAGTGAGAGCCTTCATAAGCTCCGCAGTCTGATTCTTTGACCGTAACGATTCGATCCACGGATCGTCTTCTATGTTATAGGCCCTGCAACATTCTATCAATGATGAAAGTAGTCGGCTTCCAGATCCATCCTGTGCTTCATCGAAAGGTATGTAATTGACACGTTCTAGGTGAGGGCGATGGGTATTTTCCAAGAGCTCAGTGCGATAAATACGTGGAGTCTTGCATACTGCATTCAAGTTGGATTCAATTGTTCTGGGGGAAGATTGTCAGTTACCAGAGAGACTCATTAGCATAAGATAGGCGGACTGACTGAAGCTCATTTTGACTCGACCGGACCACTGGGCTAGCAGTGAGTCCCAAAATCCGAGGTACAGCATTTGGACCTGACCTCAGCGAGGTAGGATGGTAGTGATTTTGCATAATCTTGTTCGCCGGATGGCGCCTAGTGCAATGGTGAGCTGTATTATATGCTATATTAGTCTGGATTCCGGTGTGCCTTGAAATGTGTCACGTACCTTCATCAAAGATAAGGAGCGCAAGTCGGGACATGCGAACAAAACCATGGCCCAAAGCATCAGCAAGGACAGCATATGTTGAAACAACAACGCGGACGTCCTTAAGAACTTTGTCCCAGATACCTTGCTCAGTCCATCGATCAACATTGTCCAGACCGGTTAAAACTTTCGTTTTCACGGAGAGGATATGGGTAGTGATAACTTCATGTTGTTGAAGACTCAATGCCACAGTTGGAGCAAGAAACCAGATAAGCTATGATAAATGTGAGACGAGAATAAATATAAGAGTTAACGGGTTTATTCACTTTGTCTGGAGAATCACAGTTCTCGAGCTCATGTATGATTCGAAGAATGGCACTGCAAGGAAAATGTCAGAAAAATGTGCCGATAAAGGGAATGTCATATTCAAACATGCATATGAGTCTTTCCACTCCCCGTGTCCATCTAGTAATAGTCAGCATCTTCTAAAGACCTCATTGGAAAAACAAAAAGGAAAACCAAAAAAACCAAAAAAACATACCGCGACAATTATATTCTCCTTACGGCTAGACTCTAACATCTCGAGCTGGTACCCACGAGACCGGTAGGCAGCACCATCACTACTCAGACCTGTAGAATCCATAATAAGTAAGAAGTCTCAAATGAGACTGTAAACGATAGGACGCTAAGTACAAGAAAAGTAAAAAAGAAGTGAGATGAGAGGAATCAAGCGATGCCCAAGAAAGCTGTTTGTTGGTGGGGGAGCTACGGCATCCCACAACGGCCATCACGCAGCTTTGGTCCAATGACCATCATGGCCTGGCTGATTCCCTTTTGGGCGTTGTATACTTCCCTCGAGAACGAGAGACTGAGTCTGAATTTCTACACTTCACATATTACCACATCACTTTGATTTATCTCTCTATTTGATTCTTTAGCTCTTCTCATCTCCTGACTAAAACTAGTCACCATCTTCATCAACCTCTCACTTTCTCTTCTATCTTTCTATTACTTTCCCCCCGTTGTCTCTCAAATCTACTCTTCTTCAAACTGCTATTTCGATTCACACCAGACCTTTGCTCGTTGTGACCTCTCTATCCCTTTCCTTTTTAGATGTTGAAACATCTGGCGGAACACCTTCAAGACCAAGCCACCTGTCAACCAACATCCGTGCTAGTTCCATGTACTCCTAGGCCAGTGAGATGGCGTGCTCTTCCACAAGGAATTTTGGAGGCTGGCTGAGGGACTTATCACAATGGCGTGGGAGGTGTCAGAGCTGGATCGAACAGGAGTGGGAGAACAAATGCAATGACCCAGCTGAATGGAAAGAGGGCAATGCCCCTGGATTTAACCTGGGTATCATGTCAAGCCAGAAACACCTAGCTTCCCTCCCTTCCCTCCGTCACTGGAAAATTATGAATCCCCCTGACCGCACCTCAGTTGAGACACAGGTGGCTGTAGACATCGTCCAGCGCAAGTGGAGCCCCAAGAATGTCCGCCTGTCGGATGCAGGTGTCATCTACTCCCTTTTGACTTTGTCTGCGGATTATCGCATACGGTACCTAACCTACGACTTTGATCAGCGAGGGGATATACGCAAAGATCGAGTCCCAAAAGCACCCACTGTGGCATTCTACCAGAACAACCAGCGGACGCTTGCCACATGGAAAGGTATCTATGTTTTTACAGGGGGGTACAATGATGCAGGATGGTTGCTGGCCGACAATTACCCGGACGGACCACCATTTTTCCAAGCTGGTCTGGTGGTCGCTTCGTCTCGTGTGAAGACTTTCGATGCCCTCAATGTCCAGTTGACCGAGTACCAACCAAAAAAGGTCTTCGTCCACGATCCTAATTCGACGGAGAATTTATGGAAACGTGCCTATCTACAGTACTGGATTTTACTCAGGGGTTGCAACGATATTTCGGGATATTGTCTTGTGCTTGCAGGGCAGAGTGCATCTGGATACCAGAAGATGGGTCTTCTCTTTGGCTTTCATGCCCTCATTGGTCCTGGCGCCGACGCCACCGACGCAAATGAAGCAATTCAGCAGGACCAGATTTACACGGCTTGGAAGAACAAGCTGTCCCCAGATGTGGAGGTTAAAACGCAACCCAATGATTTTATCAACTTCATTGGGATCAGGTGGGGGCATTTGCCAATTCACACAAACACGACTGAAACCAACACGACAGAAGCCATCACTACCTGCCGCAAGCGCAGAAGGCCAAACAGTGGTAATGAAACTAAAGATCTCCTATCATTCTCATCACACTCATCATCCATTGGGAGAGCAACTGTAGACGAAAGAAGCCCGGACCGAGCAGATGACGAGTCCAACATGGTTTCATTCAATCGTCTTTGGGCTGAGCTAGCAGCCATTGAATCGCCTCCCAGGTACTGGGAGCTATTCACCGCAGTTGGTACAATGGAGACCATGCATCGAAGGTGGCGTCACAACCGTCTAGCTATGGAAGTGGTCAAACTCAATATCTCATCATCTGAAGCCACTGTTATCCGTGATCTTATACAAAACCCGAGTCCAAGGCTTGCATCTTTGCTTCTAGGTATTGGGGTGGAGGAAGATCGCATTGCTCTTGAAAATGCTTTCAGCTATAATTCGGCCATGGCCTTGTTTCAACGGCAGGTTAATGTACTTGAGGATGGACCCGTTAAACAGGCCTATGCGGACGTTTACTCCTACTTTCAGGCTGTCGCCTGTCGCCGCCCTAACATCCTACAGCCGCTCATCAAGCTAGAGCAGTAAGAGGAAAGTCACAGTGGGCTTCGGGGCTAAGGACCTCAATAATACACCGATGTCCAAGGGATGAACTTCTGGCCGTCGTAGGCAAGTTTTCTACACGTTATGCAGCATGGTCCGATTGTGAGTGGGTATGAGGAGGGGCACACCGAGATACGATCTTTTCCAATGCAGACGAAGTCAAGGTGCAAGAAAACACTTTACAACCCCTCAGTGCTTTGACGTATCAACTTGAGAACACAGAAACAAACGAAAAAAAATAATAATAATAATAATGTGAAGAGGAAGGTGATCCACAGCGGATATTTTCCTCATTGGAAGACGCGTTGGAGTAATCTTGGCGTGCGTTTCACTCTTCTTTTCGGAACGAACGCCTGAGACTTTTGCTTCATATGAAGGACGAGGATAGAATGGAAGGTAATCCATAGTTTACAGGCCTGCTAGTCATACATTCAATATTACCTTCCAAGTTAAGGGTTTTCTGCGACTTTCGGTCGGAGGTGTGATCGAATATATATAGTCGAGTTTACAACACCTACATGCTTTTTCAAATTAGCATCATTGACAACTCCAAAGTCGAGAACCTTATACTAGACAATAATTCTAAGCAAATATCCCGAACCAACATTCAAAATCATGTCGCAAGCTCTTGATCTGTCCCTGTTGAAGGGCCCTCCCGAGGAAAGAGACGCGGTTTCGGCAGCCCTACTAGACACACTCAAAACGCGTGGAGTGGCCAAACTAAAGAACCATGGGCTTCCAGAAGATCTCATTGCCAAAATGTTTGACTACGTAGGTAGTTGACTCAAACGAAAGACTGTACCTCCACTGAGTTTCTTTGCAAGACCCGTCGATTCTTTTCTCTTTCACTGGAGGATAAGATGACTGCCAAACATCCGCCCGAGGCAAACCCCAACCGTGGGTACAGTTATGTTGGCCAGGAATCGATCTCTTCAATTAGTGGCTATGAAAAAGGCCTCCCTCAAGGGAAGTCAGTTCGGGATATCAAGGTGGGTGCTTCCTGCCTGATCCGCGGTGAACGTCCATTCTAATAAGGACAGGAAACCCTCGATATGGGCTCCCCACACGACAACCTTGTGGACAACATCTGGGTTGCTGACGAGAAGCTTCCTGGATTCCGCAAATTCATGGAGAATTTCTATGAAAGCTGCTTCAAGGTCGAGTTGGAGATCCTCGACGCGTTGGCCGAGGCCCTCGGGATCTCAGCACCAGATCTCAAACTACTACACAACAATGCCGAAAACGAGTTCCGTCTGCTTCATTATCCAGCTGTGCCAGCATCTGCTTTAGAAGATGGAACTGCCACGCGCATTGCAGAACACACCGACTTCGGCACGATTACCATGCTGTTTCAAGATTCCACTGGTGGTTTGCAGGTCGAAGATCAGCAAAATCTGGGAACTTTCCATGATGTCGTGTCAGGGGGCAGGTCGGAGATCATTCTGAACATCGGTGACTCGCTTCAGCGTCTGACAAATGATACTTTCATGGCTGCATGTCACCGGGTAACCTATCCACCCACCGTCAAAGTGGGTTCTGATGTGATGATCCCCGAGCGCTATTCTGTTGCCTACTTTGCGAAGCCAAACCGTGTCGCTTCTTTGTTTCCATTGAAGAAGTTTATCACGCCTGCTACTCCGTGCAAATATGAGGATATTACCGCCTGGGACTACAACAATCTGCGAATCGCCAAATTGTTCTCCTAAACAGTCGTCTGGTCATAATATGGCATCTAGTTATACGTGTATTTATGTGCTTATGTTACTCTTCAGATTGTATGACTGTTATCGAACTCAAATCATAAGTATGTAGGCAATTTTGCAGAACAATCTACGTCTTTTCGAGTAAATTTACTAGTGCGCCTTGGACATGTACATGGTCTAGCCCTCGAGGCGGGTATCGTTGTTTGACGCCTACAATGTTTATTCGGAGCCCAAAACAACGTTGGAAGATTACGAACACGACTCGACATTTATCCACAAGAAGAGGGGCAATGATCCAACAGGGCAAGAAGTTCCGAGCCCTCGATCTTCGGTCTCTCAGATCTAACTATTGAATTTTCGACTCAGAAGATCGTACTTGATTAAATACATATCTTGGTGGAGTAACTGTTTAGAAAGGTCAGTAGATGTGGGATATAAAGCTCAATAACCTCCAGGTACATAATTGATTTTGCGCTATCGATATCGGAATCACATTCCCATTTGGGGTTTGTCCCCCAACGGAGACTCAAGAGTCCTTTATCAAAGCATCAACTTCTCTCAACATCCCTCAAGATGCAAGGAATCGTAGAGTTAACGTTTATTAATGACAAAGAGGATATTCGATGGTTGAATGCGGGAAATGCGGCCAGACACCGCCACCCGATCTTCACAGGTCTGCCTTTGGTTGCAACTCATATCAGCTATTCTGACAATGATTGGCAGACGTCGAACGTCGAGAAATGACCCTTGAGATTGTCTCTTCTGTGCCCGACCAGAATCCCGACAAGGCAATTGTTGATCTAGAAAGCTTCGACTCGGATATCAGTTGCTCGAGGCCATCCTCACTTTTTCGGGGACCTTTTGGTGCTTTCAGATGCCCACAACCGCTTCACCTTGAACCATCACCTTCCGATAAGAATGAGCCGCCTCCATCCTCCAGTGTCTGGTTCAAGCAGCTTGAGGAGCTGCCAATAGAGGAAGATTTTAACCAGAGTGCGCTCAGTCTGGACGCCCTAGACGCTCTGAATGCAGACTACAGTGACGATTTGTCGTTAGTAGAGCCCAGCCTAGAGCCATCCCAGAACACTGAGACGAATTTCCACGAGCCAAGTCTACCAGCAGAGATCAATCCCTATTTATCTGTAGGTAATGTTGAGGGCTGGAATCTGCTATCTTATTACAAAGATCGAATCGTCCCTTTGATTTCTCCTTTACGCCGTGGAAAGGAGACACCTTGGATGAGCCTGGTAATACCGTGTGCAATGGGAACTTTGGCAGAACTGATGCTGAATGGATCTTCCAATCATGCACGGCTTGCCCTATTACATGCCGTATGGAGCACAAGTGCCTTTCACTTGGGGAATAATTCAGTGACTTGCCTTGAGCATTGGAAAGCCTCGGGAGGGATCTACTTAATGCGGGCTCAATACCACTTCCAAAGATGCATGGAAGAAAGCTGTATCTCGACAACAAAGATGGGAAAATATAAGGAGATTCTCATGGCAATACTTAGTCTTTCAAATGCTTTTGTATGACTTCGATACGGATCCGCTGTACATGGCTAACATTTTCCTTAATTCAGATGATAAAAGGCGATCCGGAAATGCGACGCGCCTATCTCGTCCAAACAGAGAAACTTATTTGTGTCAAGGGCCTTAGCCAGCCAGCACTGTCAGCCAACAAAAGAGCATTGCATCACTGCTATGCCTATATGCGCATTATGGCCGAGACAACATGCATTGCTGATAGATTGACCATCAATCACACTGGGACAAGCGATACTTTGAGCGAAAACACAACTTATGGAGGAGACTTCCGTCTCCATCCCAATCTGATATTTTCGACGACAACAATGAGAATGGAAAAAGACCCGGGTATGGCGCAACGTGATCTCCACCTTGCGATACCCGGCCGATGGAGCTCAACATTATTTCCCACATTATATGGAATCGACGAAATATTTCTCATGCTACTGTCTCAAGTAATCCGCCTTGCCAACGAGAGAGACTTGTCAATGATGTGTGATGTAGCAGAAAGTCGGCTCAGCTTGAAGGAATTTTGGACTCGAGCAAAGGGCCTGGAAAAGGCTGTCGATCATTTGCTATCCACTCCAAATCCAAGCTGTGTTCAACCTTATGATGGAACCCTCCCAGTAGTCATGACTGCGACAGCTCAAGCGATGTACACGGCATTATCAATTTTCTTCCATCGCCGAATATATGAAATTGATCCTATAATGCTCCAGGGCAAGGTCGCTGCAATTCGGGGCTACCTAATCCAAATCCAACAGGAGGAAAGCCATCAGAAGGATAGTAGCAATGCTGCGCTGATCTGGCCGGCTTTTATCACTGCTTGCGAGGCTGTCAGTCCCGAGTTACAGGTGTTCTTTTCGTCATGGTTTGATAATTGTGCTCGGACGACAGCGTTGGTTCATGCATCAGTTGCTCAACAGATATTCGAGACAATATGGACCAAAAGGCGCGATGTGAGCTTGTGTGGAGGAACATTTAGCTGGCCAGATATTTTGCGGGATGGGGATATCAAGTTTATGTGTATATGACGAGTGACGAATGAGAGGACATGAGGTGTTATTACTACAAAGAAACAAAGTTGAATTGATAGTACAAGACTGGTAGTCTTGGTGGTCGAGTTCATAGCTGTAAATAGGCGGACAAAGAAAAACTCAAGATGCGTTCAATGTCGCATGGTGTATTGCCCCTGAACTCATGCTTTGGGGTCCAAGGATTCCTCCGAAATCCGCCCAATATTCCCAGCGCGTGAACTGAGAACACCCTAGTGACCTGGCAGCCAATATCGATGAAATATCAGCACTTCAATCGTTGACTAAAATACCAACTTCTCCTAGATCTCGGAATACCTTACCAATTTACTCCGTCAAACCAGATGTTATCTTTGGTGCATTCTTCAGGTTCGTCTCTCCATACTACGAACGAAAAAGGAATGATATACGCACACTCCGTGTAGGTGATTCCAGTATTTATGTCGCGTCTATTGATAAATCGCGGATCAAAGAGCCTAGTAACATCACATCTTTTGCCCCCGCGGTTGAGGCAATCTGCCTTTAGAGGAGTTTCACTCATCAATGGTCTAGTGGATTGTGAAGCAATATTCTGGATCGAGCCTTGCATTCCGATTGTTCTCATTGGCGTAAGTAGACCATTGACCAATTACTCGACAAGATCTTGTATTTATTTGTTTCTGGGGACTGGAGATGTCAGATACAATTAACTTTCTCATCTGGTGGTGATTGTGGAAGGCCCGCAGAACAGGTACAGTGCGGTCACTACCGTTCTGACTAATTTGGCAAGGGCAGTCCACTTTGTCCACGTTACTAGCGGAGGTGGTCGAACTAGAATATGGCCTAGCTAGTCCTGCAGGTTGAGCCCCACAGAATGACGTAGGAGGGTTGGGAATAGTTCTTTTGATGGAAGTGGATGTAAGTTGATAAAGAAAAAGAGGGTAGGGAGCACAGGCTATAAGAGTGAGGAGCGAAGAAGAGGAAGTGCAAACTGTATGGGTATATATAGTTCCTTTTTAGGATATTGGCTTTAAACTGCGAAAAGCGGCAAGGGCAGAGCACTAAAACGGAAAGGGAAAGCGAACCAACCGCAGAGGAAGTCATGTACAACATAGGTATGTACTTCCCCACCACTGATTATTTATTGAGTTTAATAGATGAGCCAAATACAAAGAGAGGAGAAAGTCCTGAGGGAAGGAATACATGCATCAGGTGCGTACAACATATATGGAGTAGTGATGTCGTATTACATCTACTTAGTGTAACCCCCCTGTCAACGCCTAGGTATAGCTGTGCAGAGGGTTGAGGAAAGGTATATGGTAAGAGCCTTGTATGTTTTATAATTTTTATATGGACATGCCATACAAAGTATACCTAATTTCAAGATTTTTAAGGGGAGAAAAGGTGGGGGGGGGGTTTGTTGCAAAGTACTTGACCCCCGGGACTGGCCCCGGCCCCTGGCTAATTACGTATTATTAATCAGATCCTATGGCCAGGCCCCTGCATAGAATGTACAATTCAACATTTCTCATATACCCCAAATAACAACATCTAGAAATGGCCATTTTGTCAGCGCATCATATATTGAGGGTCTGGAGACCGAAATCCATCGCGTCTCGGCGTATTCCGCCAATGAATCCATGGATCATTGATAATCTTTGTAAGGGCCCCCGTTATGAGCTTTCCCCGCACGCCCCGGATTTTTCTCTGTATGGCCAATGACATTGTGAAGAAATCCAAGTTCGCGTCATATTCTTATTTTTTTCCCGTGTAAGCTGGTATATTGGGAAACCTGCCCGGAAACATAGAAGCTGCTTAATACGCGACCGGTCATTGGGTCCACAAGGTGTACCATTTAAACTGCGGGGGTGTCCTCTTCTCTGACACTTTTCTTCCTCTCTATATTCCCCGTTTTCTTTCCCATAACAACTTTCATCATGAGTGAATGTCCTGTTGCACATAAGAAGAGCAATGTTGCTGGAGGTGGCACTCGGTATGATCCCTAGTTCTCTTACCTCGGCACATTCCACATTCCCCCTATAGTTTCAAATACTGATTTTATGCTTCAGCAACACTGACTGGTGGCCCAACTCCTTGAAGCTGGGTATTCTCCGCCAGCATACTGATGCTACCAACCCCCAAAGCAAGGACTTTGATTATGCCGCTGCTTTTAAGACCCTCGATTACTGGGGCCTCAAGAAGGACCTTCACGCCCTCATGACCGACTCTCAAGAGTTCTGGCCAGCTGACTTTGGTCATTATGGTGGTCTCTTCATCCGAATGGCCTGGCATAGCTCTGGAACATATAGAGTTTTCGATGGCCGCGGTGGTGGTGGCCAGGGCCAGCAGCGTTTTGCACCATTGAACTCTTGGCCCGATAACGTCTCCCTTGGTAGGTTTCCATTAGTAATCGAGTCAACATTTATATTATACTGATATGTATCTTCTATTTTCAGACAAGGCCCGCCGATTACTTTGGCCCATAAAGCAGAAGGTGAGTACCATACACTTACATACTAGATTTCTGCATCCTAATCCCAGCACTTAGTACGGCACCAAAATCTCGTGGGCAGATCTTCTGCTTCTAACTGGCAACGTTGCCTTAGAATCTATGGGCTTCAAGACATTCGGATTTGCTGGAGGTCGTCCTGATGTCTGGGAAGCCGATGAGTCGGTGTACTGGGGAAGTGAGAACGTCTGGTTTACTAATGAGGCTCGATACGAGGCTGAGACCGCAGAGGAGAAGGCTAAGCAAAGCGATATTAAGACTCGAGACCTCGAGGACCCGCTGGCCGCGGTCGTCATGGGTTTGATCTATGTCAACCCTGAAGGTCCTGATGGAAACCCTGACCCTGTCGCTGCTGCCAGAGATATCCGTATCACATTCGCTCGTATGGCTATGAATGACGAAGAGACCGTCGCCTTGATTGCTGGTGGTCACACTTTCGGAAAGACACACGGTGCTGCACCCCCTACCGATAATGTTGGACAGGAGCCCGAAGGTGCCGGCATTGAGTTACAGGGCCTAGGATGGCACAACAAGCACGGCTCTGGAGTAGGCCCTCATGCTATCACCAGTGGGTTGGAGGTGACCTGGACAAGTACTCCTACCAAGTGGAGTAACAACTTCTTGGAATATCTGTTCAAGTTCGACTGGGAGTTGACTAAGAGTCCCGCTGGTGCTAACCAGTGGGTCGCTAAGAATGCGGACGATATCATCCCCGATGCCTTTGACCCAAGCAAGAAGCACAGGCCTCAGATGCTAACCACCGATCTCTCTCTGCGTTTTGATCCCGCTTACGAGAAGATCTCCCGTCGTTTCCTCGAGCACCCTGATCAGCTTGCCGATGCATTTGCTCGTGCGTGGTTCAAGCTGTTACACCGTGACATGGGCCCTCGCGCTCGCTGGTTGGGCCCTGAGATCCCCAAGGAGGTCTCTCTCTGGGAGGATCCTATTCCTGTTCCCACACACGCTATGATTGACAATGGCGACATAATTGCCCTCAAGAACGAGATTCTCTCATCCGGTATTGAGCCGACCAAGTTGATTGCCACTGCCTGGGCATCTGCTTCTACCTTCCGCGGTGGTGACAAGCGTGGAGGTGCCAACGGTGCCCACATCCGTCTCGCTCCCCAGAAGGACTGGGACGTCAACAACCCAGCTCAGTTGCGAGAAGTTCTCAGTTTGTTGGAGAATATCCAAAGCCGCTTCAACAGTGCCCAAAACGGCGAAAAGCGTGTCTCGGTCGCTGATCTGATTGTGCTTGCTGGATCTGCCGCCCTTGAAAGATCCGCGGGTATCCCTGTCTCCTTCACCCCTGGCCGCAACGATGCCACCCAGGAGCAAACAGATGTCGACTCATTCGGCTGGCTCCGGCCCTTCGCCGATGGTTTCCGTAACTACGGCAACTCGACTCCTCGTGTCCGCACCGAGCAGCTCCTCATCGACAAAGCGCAGCAGCTGACCCTCTCCGCCCCTGAATTGACCGTCCTAGTCGGTGGTCTGCGTTCCCTGAACGCTAACTGGAATGGATCCAAGCATGGTGTCTTCACCTCCCGCCCTGGCCAGCTGAGCAACGACTTTTTCATCAACTTGCTCGACATGAACACTGTCTGGAAACCAACTAGCGATGATAGTGAGCAGTTTGAAGGTTTCGACCGCAAGACTGGTGCCAAGAAGTGGTCTGCTACTCGTGTTGACCTGATATTCGGTCACCATGCTGAGCTCCGTGCTCTTTCTGAGCTGTACGGCAGCTCCGATGCCCAGGACAAGTTTAAGAAAGACTTTGTTGCTGCCTGGGACAAGGTTATGAATTTGGACCGTTATGATATCCCCTGTTTCCCTGCTACTGGCCGTTCTCGCTTGTGAATAATTTGTTGATTATTATATCATATTCTCTGGTGTTATTTAGCTGGATCATGAATCAAAATTGTAGTTTCATCATGATGCTATCCTTCAAAAACTTAACGTATTGGCTAATCTGGCACGTAGTATTTCCCTCTTATGTATGCTTATGTATGTGGATGTATAATGTAGATATATAACTTATCAAGCAATTGATTTGTAGAGAATCTTTCATATAGACTGGGTAAAAGAAAAATCACACTGCAAGCTCGATAAGCAAAGTCCATTCCCAGGCCATTTATGGCCTAACTAACGTGGGTGATAGTAGCGAGCCAGCCCTCAAAGTTGACACCCGGGGGCCTGGGGCTCCGGCTCCCGAGTCCTCAATGATCAACAGCGAATGAACAATACCTTGCGTACCTAGGTAACTAGGTAATCTCTTGCTAGCAGTGATAGCTAATAGGACTAAGTTCGTATTGGCACCCTTCGTCACGCGGGCTTAGATAATGAGTCCGAAATGATTTACCTGATGAGATATATCCAATTCAAAAGTGGTGACCTGCATTCACAAGCCAGTATTTTCTGCATCAAGCTGCAAATGCCCGTCATATCCGAACTGTGCGGGTGCGACTGGGAACGCGACTGTACCAGCCTGTTACACCTAATATTTACGTCCGGACTATTGACGGTTGGACAGAGAATGCGTTGTCCCTCCTAACCCTTTCCTGAATTATCTCGACAAAATGGCTCTGAAAGTCCTCATTTGCGGTGGAGGTGTTGCAGGTCCGGCCTTGGCCTACTGGCTCGCATGAATCGGTCACTAAATTGGTGTCGTCGAACGTTTCCCTGTGCTGAGAGCGTCGTGGACAGGGCATTGAGGCCGTCAAACGCATGGGTCTCACCTACGCGGTTCGCCGAAAACTCGTTGACGAGGCAGGTGTCTCCCTCATTGACACCAAGGGCAATGTCAAGGTGACGACCCTCGCCAACAAATCTGGCAAGGGTGCAAAGTCTCTAACATCCGAGTATGAGATCATGCCGGGAGATCCTGTGCGCATGTTATACGAAGCAACAAAAGACAACGTGGAGTATTTCTTTGGCAGGACGGTGGACCCCTTCACGGAAAATGGCTGAGGGGTAGTCACGTACTTTTCCGACGGCTCTTCGGACACATTCGATCCACATTCGATTTACTTGTTGGAGCAGACGGGCAGGGCTTGCACATTTAAAGGAACATTTCACCCCCTGGTGCTCCGTATGCATATGACCAGCTCGAAATACGTGTGGCCAACTGGTTTGTCCCATGGGTTGAAAGCGACAACAATATGTGCAAGGTATATCTCAGCTCCTGCCGGGCCTAGTTGGGGCATATGTACTGGCTGGAGAGATTGCTCGCAGCGAGGATTTGTCACAAGCGTTTAAAATTACCCACGAGCAATGCGACCATTAATCGATGAGGTTCAGCAGTTGAACGTTGGGTGGATCCCATGGCCGGTCCCTAACTCGCAGTGGGCGATCTATCTTGTTCATTTGATTAACTATAGGACTGGCTTGCTTTCTTCACATACCGCAGCTCATATCGCAATTTTCAATCAACGGGGATAGAGGCTGGAAACGCCCTAATTATCCAGACCTAATTATCGAGAACTGGACGTTGATCGTATTAATCGGGAAGAAATTCAATGAGAATCAGGAGATGAGATTGGATACAACACAAATTTCAAAGATTACATGTCCAATAAGGGGTACATGACTTAGGGAGTCCAATCTATTAATATATGCTTTTCCTACCGTCGCATCTATTCCCCACAGTAGGCATTTTAGCGCCTGAGCTTTTGGATGTACGTGTCACGGTTCACCTATTTAAACACATATTTTGAATATCGAAGCGGTGAATCTATACTTTTCTTGTATTTGAGGACGGAGTACTCCGTAGAGAAGGTTTCATGTGCAAAGTACTACGCTTTGGCCCCATGTCCCTTCAACGGACGCCAAGCCTCAGTCAGCATGAACGTCAATCTTCTTCTCTTTACGCCCTATTCCATATATCTTCAGCTTGATTATGATTTCATTATTAGCAACGCCTGAATTCATCTATGCGAGGCCTGGACTCCTATTACAAAGCGCCACTGGCGAAAAGAAAATGTGATCAGTGCCCAAATTCTAGCTGGGTTTCTTTGTTTGAGATCCCGAGCATCCCTGTTTAGCGCGCCGATAACCTCTTGACATTCGACTCTTCGTTTGCCGTGTCCAATGAGCTCTTCAACCAACATGATTAAGGGGGAGGAGAAACTGGGATCCTCATAATTCCAGCGATCATTGCCACCAATAGCCGATTTGGAATCCCCATGCGATCAATGATTGTCTAATGAACCGGAACATCTGGCCGTGATCCCCGTGTGCTAGTATCATAGAGTGCATTTGTCGCATTTTCTCTCATTTCTGCGACGAGGCATGACTCAACAGTGGTATGATCCACCCTCGACATCAACAGTCAACCTTATCCTGTCCGACCCCGTGGCCTAAGATGAGGCGCCCAAGGCGAGTCTCCATGGGATCTGTCAGCCATGTGGGACCTGCGTCCGAGCTGTGATCAATATATCCTTTTCTTTTCCCACCGGTTGATTTCTCCGCATGGCCCAACCCATTCCCGCGCCATGGATGACCCGATGAGCAACCTCTCTCCGGAGGCGAGTCACATTTTCAGTGCCAACATGGGGACCGTCCAGATATTGTCTATGTTCGCAATTTCAGCGTGGAATGCAATTGAAGTTATAATTGCCATATTTGATAAGTTCCAAAAGTATAGTGGGGTATACTTCTGGAGCATGCAAATTGCCGCCTGGGGAATCTTGTTACATGGCATTCCAGGGCAACTTCGCTATACCAACCTAGCCTCTACCCCTTCAGTGTCGATCCCGTTTGTCGTGGGCTGGATGTGCATGGTAACTGGACAGGCGGCAGTGCTATGGTCAAGATTGCACCTCGTTGTTGCCGACACCCGCCATGTACGATGGGTCCTATGGTGCATCATAGCCAATGCTTTCGTCCTCCACATTCCCATGACAGCACTATTCTTTCTCAAAAATGTTAATATACCGCTCGGCCGCACAGCATACATCTACGACCGTTTTCAAACAACTGGATTCGCCACCCAAGACACATTAATGTGTGCTATCTACGTCCGCGAAGCTCTCCGAGCGCTCAAGCCCGTCTTTGAATCCAAAGGTCCCCAAGGGCAAAGAATTATCTACCGAATCCTCTTCGTCAATCTCATCGGCATCGTCCTCAACATATTAGTCATTATCGTCGAGTTCCAATTCCATTACTTTGTCGCCTGCGGAAGGATAGTCGCCTACAGCATCAAACTGAAACTTGAATTCCACGCCCTAACTCAACTCCGCGATCTGACACGCACTTATTCGTGCACGTTGTGCCAAGGGGCTCGTGGAAACGTGAGTGGTTCAGCCGACATCAACATCTTCGATATGCTCGCAAATAGTTCCCCGTCGCAGGATACCGAGGCGCAAACTATCTCTGGTGTTACAAATACTGTGTCCTCGACGCCGCACTCCGCGCGCAGTGGCACGTACGATTTCCATGAGGCAATGCGCCAAACAATGTTGACTGTGAGCTCTGATGGGTCACAGGAAAGTACTCGGGCTCGGATGCACTCGTCTGATACGCACTCTACGGTTGAAATGACATTACTCGAGTGCCCGAAGTAAGAGCAGATGTTGGTGACTTAGGGGGGACATAATTTTGCATGCGTGATTGTACATACTACAAGATGAACTTCGGCTGAGGATAGTCGAATCATCACTGGGCGGCCACCTTTTTTGCTTTATACCCCTGTCGCTATCGACATGCTTGTTATTGTATGTTTTGATTTGTATTAATTTTGTGTATTTTGAAAAATTTGTACCCATTCATATATTATATCGATTGAATTACCACCAACCCTCCCATCTTCATAATATACAGCACAGTATAGCGTAGTTCCAAGGCAACAAAAGAACAGGATGGATGTGAAGATGAATGCAAAATATCAGATTCGATATCTATGTATTTTCCCAATTTCCAGGATGAAAACACGAGAAGCGCCAACCTACAGGCCTAACACGTGTGCCGGGGTCTGCTTCCGCATATGGGAAACAGTCCGCGGGTACTTGCAGATATAACAAAGAAACTCGACACATCCGTCGAAGCTATGACCGCCTCATGAACTTAAGTAAGAGTAATTATTTGAAAGAGAGGGGAAATGATGTCGGTGCTCAAGGTCCAGAACATGGGCACAAGTGGATATTAAACTAAGAAACTAGATTGCTAGATGAGGTGACAGGTACGGATGGCTAAATTCCTAAACGGGCACGGATGGCTGGTTCTCTTTGTTTTCGCTCTATCAAACTGTTGAGCGAGAGGCGAGCCATTCACCGTTCTTCTATTCGCCGTAGGACTATTTGCCGAATAGAGAAGACTGAGTTGGTGGTATAAAGCCCTGTGCTAGGTGGCCGATAGGTCTCATCATGCATAACCGGCTATGAACACCTTTTCGCTACCGGACGATTTCAGTTGAGTGGAAATTGCAGCATTCTCCCCACAAGCTCACTGAAGAATCAGCTGAATATTGTAGGTATGATACACATGAACTATGTTACAATGCTACTAGAAATACCCCTCCTTGGATATAACAGCTTCTAAAACTCGCTAGTTGAACAATGTGATATTGGCACGACCTCACTGCCCCATCTATAGAAGATACCGGAAACTCTCGATCTCGCGATCAGTCTTGTTGGATAGTTCATCCTGTAACTCCGCCCCCACAGTGATCTGCTCAAGTGAACCATACAACCTGTCTCGTCGACGATTCTCCCACGTGTAGTAGGAGTATAAGCACAGGAGGAAGAAAAGGCTCAGAATCAAACCTGACATAGAAGCCTTGATGCCAGTCTATATTAAACAGCCGTGGCGTTAGTTTCGCATTTTGCGATATAAATCCCTAGGAATAAAATGAGCACTTACTGGGTACGATGGCTCCTCCGAGGCAAGGAAAAACTGAGGGCCCACGATATTCCCAACGCAGTATGCTATGAAAAGCAGCGAACTGACGACACTCTTTTTCGAAAATCCAGCCACGTTCGACGTAACTATACTCAACGAGATGGGAAGGTTGATAGCGTAGACGACAGCTAACGTCAACCCAACCATTCGCCCAGCTTGATCGTCGGGGTTGAGCTTCCAGATAAGGATCAATCCCACAATAGAAATGACCGTGTTGAGACACATTCCTAATATACGGGAAGATGGGATAAAGGTCGCGATGATGGAGGTAATCAGCAAAAACACGATCTGGGCGGCACCCTGGGGCATTTGCATAATAAGGGCCTTGAGATCAGTGAAGCCGAACCCGGCAGTGATAATCGACGTAAACTAAAACAGCATTAAGTTTCAACCCCAGGGATATGAACGTAAACACTCACGCTAGTAAGACCACCATTTGCTAGGTTCGACGCGAAAGAGTTGAGAACCAAAAGCCATGTCTGAGGATCTTTTATGGCTTGAACAGCCTGTGACCACTTGAACACACCGGTATCCATGACTCCAGTTTTGTTCTTCAGAGTGCGCTGCACAGCAATAGCCCGCTCATTGGGGTTCAGAAATATGGCCTTGGCAGGCGAGTCCGGTAGCAAAACGAATAACACGAGACCATAAGTCGAAGTGATGGCGCCGAGAATAAGGAACAAGAGTTTCCAGTGGGCAATAACTGTCGTGTTAATAGTCCCAATGCCGTAGGCAATAACACCACCAATGAGTACAGCAATACAGTTTCCGAAGAACCAGGCAGATTGTCTAAAGCTTGTTAGTGAGTCCTAGGTCCACCTCGATTCGGAAGACTTACCGTAGAGGTTGTTCCTCACGTTTATAAAACATTCCCGTGAGCAATGTGAAGCCCGGCGCAATTGCCGCTTCGCCTACTCCCAAGAAGAAACGGACGGCCATAAGTCCACTCCAATTAGAACAAGCAGCATGACACATTAGGATTCCACCCCAAAGGAACCTTATAAAGTTAGTATCATCGTTGGCGCCAAATATCCGCGAGTGAGGAAACCCCTACACTGAGACTGAGATGTATTTCCCAATAGGAAGTCGAACGATAATATATGAACTGGGCCTATTGTCGGATTAGTATTGGTGATTAGAGGCAGAGGTAGAGGAGACTTCAATACATACCAACTCCAGGCAAAGTAACCAAAATAGAAGATCGCAGATGCCCATGAATATTCAGATCCTTTCAAGTACTATAACTTTCTGTAAGCACATCTTCATTGATAAACAGCTGTATAGGAGTAAATACCAGATCTTCTCGTAAATTAAATAGTGTCGCCTGACTTAAGGCGAGCTTGTCGAGGAATTGGAGGAAATATGCGACTCCCATCAATGGGACCAGACTTCCTTGGGTCAGATACATGCACACGTAGATATAATCAGCTAGAACACTCACATAAGATCCAGCTTCCATAACACCTTCCGTTCCTCCCTAGTCGTTGGTTGGATAGCGAGCACTTGGCCAAGATCAAGGTCCCGGCCAAGTGACTCACCTCCCTTCATGTCCTTCTCATCTAGGTTGGTCTCGTAGGGTTGCATCGCGAAAATTAAACAAAAGCAAGTCCAGATGAGGAACACTCAGTGCCTTCTTATTCAAACCCACCACACAGCCGGTATCGCTCTCAACTTCCTCGCCACAAAATCTGCCTAACAAAGTTCGCCTGAACCTACTATTCCTAAAGCCCCGGCGGGTTTCCGCGGTGGGCCCTAAGCTATCATCCAAGGGGGTATCAAATATATCAACCAATTGAAACGCATAGTTTAGATTTAAGATTGTTATCAGAATTTCCCCACGATGCTAATCCCGGAGAACAGGCGAGCCAGCTAATCGCTCGGCACCCCACTTCCCATAAATCCGGTGTCCGTCAATTAAAATACGGGGATTGCAAGTCAACATGGAGCCGAGCTTGGGGGGGCCTCCACTTCCCCCTCAGCGGATGCTAAGTACGGCAATTGACTCCGCTGTCGATCATCGGCATCTGGTATGGTTATCTATGAACACGAGGGTTTGAGATATGCTACAAAGGCCGCGCTATTCCGCGACAATTCCTAATCGTCATTATACTGATAGGGAAACCTGTTGCCAAGGACGATGTGTCATACACTTGCATTTCAATTTCAAAGGTCTCACGGGAAACACGAGAGCACGCTAAATCAAGCCTAGTATTCACAATTATATGCCCTTCTTAAAGTCCAACTTTATGGCATTGGCGAAACTTTCATCGACTAATGCCCGGCATGCCACCACGGCCATCCCCGCGGCACAGTGTAAACTACGCTTGAACCCATCCTCAGATCCAGCCCCGGCAGTAAATTGTGGGGTGTGGTTCACACCATCGGCATGAATATAGAATCCACCGTGGAAGCCAGGTACTTCATATGAGACGTTGCCTATATCGGAGTGAATAGTCAGCCTCTGGCTGCACCGTAATGAACTTTACTCACCCATATCGGTCGACCCTCCGCTAAGACCTCCTACCTGCCCTACGGCATCAAAGATAGTATTGTGGCCCATAGTGTTCATAGCAGAGACGTAGCTGTCACAGATAGGCTTATTGATCTTCATATCCTTATACGCGGCTTCCCTAGCCAATGGGTTAGCGAAGCGTAACAATAGAACATCGCCAATTTTTCATACCATTCGTATTCCACCGTGCAGCCAGTAGCAGTCGCAGCAGCCTCAAAGCATTTAAGGACTTTCGCAGTCAATGGTTTCAATGTCTTTACAGTCTCCGATCGCATATAGTATTCAACCGTCGTAGAGGCAGGAATAACATTCGGTCTCTCTCCACCCCGCGAAATAACCCCATGAATCTTTTGCGTAGGCAATATCTGCTGTCGCAGCATCGAAATGTTCACGTACGCAGACACCACAGCGTCTAGGGCATTGACGCCCTCCCACGGCGCAGCCGACGCATGCGCCGGTTTGCCAGTGAATGTCACCTGAACTTTGTCGTTTGCGAGATACATCCCCGTGCATGAACTGGAACTGATAAGATCCGGGGTGCCGGAAAGTACCGGGAATGGATGGACCATGAAGCATGCGTCCACGTCTTTGTATGCGCCCGCGTCGATGAGCAGGAGCTTTCCACCGCCACCCTCCTCGGCGGGAGTGCCCAGCAGCCGAACCGAATAACCAAGCCCATCTGAATACAGAGTAGCCATTGCCTCACAGGTAGCCAGGAAGGCCGCGATGGAACTTGTAGCGATCAGATTGTGGCCACATGCATGTCCCATGCCGGGAAGGGCATCGTATTCTGCGTTGAAAGCCACGATACGTCCGCCCTCACCGCGAGTATAAATCACCTCGAGCGCTGTCTCAATGCCATAGGCCTTTCTATTAACTTCGTATCCAGCATCGAGCGACTCGAAGAATTCGCAGATATTGTCGCGGGCGTTGTACTCCTTGAATGCCAGCTCAGGATTCGACCAGATCTATCGAACGTTAATAAAGTCTAGTGCGTTTGCTAGATGATACGCACCTTCTGATTTATCTCACTGAGCTTGGATTCATACTTATCCAAAGCCCCACAAACATTGTGGATGATCTCTGCTTGTCCCTGTACTGGCAACATTTTGTTCAATTGTCAAAAAATCAGAGTTGTTCACGAATGTTGGGACTGGGCAATGCAACCTTAAAAGGCAAAGAGGCGAGGAAGACCAACCAAAAAAGGAACCCCTTCCCGAACATCATCTCCGAAGATAAGGCATCACGACACATCCCAAGTGGGGTGGAGCGGGGGTTGTTTAAAAGGATTCCGCAGTGGAGAAGCAAAGCACATCCATCTCATTCTATTATGCAATCTACATTTCAGCGCCCACTAATCTCCGGAATAACCAGACCCGGTAAACAGACTTGCAGAATGGGCCTGGATAGGTCTCTGATCCAAAAAGATGCGCATTTCAACGATCTGCAGATCCGACTCATCACGACCTTCCAAATCGAGAATGTTGAACTCTCGGACTCGGACTGCGAACTGGTCAGGGTCCTCTTTGAATGTTGTTTCCGAAGTCGCTTCGAACATAACCGTGCGCTTCATTTGGATGTTCCCAGCTAGCGGGGCATAGAGCTGTCCCTTTTGTGCGGCCTCTTCGTTTGGAGCGGTCCTGTTGTACGATGTTTGAACAGGACCTATGTCCCTCCCAAGGTCTATATCCCATGCGAGATGGACATGATGGTGGAATTTGCAGATGTGATGGCTGCGTACTTCCATAAGAGGGACTGCTTGGCTTGCGGCTGTTGGTGGATCGCTGCCGATGAGGATGGGAGCGCTGGGAGTGAAGAAAGGGCTAATGGGGTTTTCGGCGGGAGTGAGGGAGTCTAGCGCTGGTAGGAATCTTTGGAGGAATTTCAGACCTGGCGAGGCTGTGGTAGGGATGGCCTCGTAGGAGCCGTGGTGGATCGAGACGGTGCCTTCCATGCTGCATCTACTACGAGAGAAACACTTTTAGATCTAAATATGTTCCAACTGGTTTCAATCGCTGGTTGTATGTCATTGCGACGTAATATTGTTATTGAAGTAGTTACATCATGAGGCTGGTGATCAACAAATCGTGGGTGTCCATAGGTAGCATTAAATTAGTATTGCCAATGTAGACGGCGGATCTATGAAGTACTATATCAGGTTAGTTTTGCCGTTTTAAATTTAGCGCCTTACTACGTCGTCACGTAACCTCCCTTCAATGCTCCCAATATGAAAGGCCCGTCTTCGCCGCTCGTCCTCCGCCTCTCTCACTTGCTTCACTTGTCACCCATTCCAGATGCAAGTTCGGGCACGCCAGTCAGTCGCAGGCTTCTACCTCATCTATGCTGCGAAAAAAAAAATTTTTTTTACTTGACGCCGTGATATTTACTGTATCCGGCGGCACTCTTTGATATATATTTAGTTCCGGTCAAATTGTATTAAATCAAAAAAGGAAGTGGCAGCTTAAGGACTGCGCGGAATCAAATCCATGCCCCTCTAATTCTTTAAGCAAAGCATGTCACCCTTCATAAAGTTGCTTGACTTCAGGGTATTATCAAATCTGAGTCTTCCGTTTCTACATTTGGCGATGACATCTAGTTCAGCAACCATACGAATTCTCTAAATGACAAGGATATCATTGAGGCGGATGCCAACCAACAGTCAAGTGTACCACCCGAGACCTGATCAGTTCTGCATCCATTATGTCGACGGTAACACTACCACTCACTTCACGACTGTCAAGTATAAGCCACCTCACAAGCTTCCCGTCGTAACCCTTCGGACGGGGCTTCGACTAATAGACTTATAGAAGGATATGGCCAAACCGAATAAAATTCCCACGAGTAAGGAAGCGAAGTTGAGGTACAATGCAAAGCGCCTCGTCTGTTACGCTATTGTCTAAAAGTATCGTGTGATAATCTAGGAAGGGCTTGAGTTCTTCAACGGGACTGATTAAGACTAATTTGGTTCCCCCTGGCTCCATATCTAGTGGCTCAGAGTTCAGCACGACATAAGCAGTTCTCTGACAACATACAAGACGCAATCTGTGCCTACTAGAAACAGGAAGGTTTTGGTAGTAGGAGTGTGTTCGTATGAAATTTCATAACTAAGTCTTACTACCTCAGTAAGAGGGCGAATAGAATAGAATAGAGAGTAGATGAGCGAAAGGAATGCGCTCCCGAGTGATGTGTGACGGCTGCGAAGAACACCACGCGGCACAAAGCGCAGAGCTTTATTCCGGGATGTGTAGCTAGCTGTCTGCCTCTAGATGTCATTTATTTAGATAGGCACGACATCAATCCAGAAGCGAGTGTCGTCGGTCTGGTACTTGTCGTCACTCTCGATCTGCTGTTGAATCCATGTCACACCATTGATGTACGCTGTCGATAAAGTCAGTAAAAAGGTCGTGAATTAGGGGATCATGTCAGATGAAACCCACTTTGGATATCAGCTGTGCCCGGGTTATTAACACCTGATTCTCCATTGCGGTGACCACTGAACCAAGTTTCATATCCGAAGTGCTTCTCGCCGTCGTGGCGAGCCTGGATGTCCTTTTTTAGGTCCGAACTAGCACTCGAGTATTAGCTTGATACACCTCGGCTTATCGGCTATACCAAAACTTACTTGAGAATAGCACCATTGGAGACCTCGGCTACGCTCTGACCAAGGAATTCGGATGCAGAGTTTCTCAGCATATACCAGTTCTGCTTGAACACGCCGAAGTTTGTGCCATCGCCTGACTTTCCATCGCCTATAAGTGGATGTTAGCACCACTACTAGTTTTGCTGGCTAACTCTTGGTCATACCATAAGTGTAGTCCGTGGTCATGGTGTTGCTAGTAGTTGTAAGCTAGGTTATTAGGAACGGATACCAAACAAGTAGACTCACGTCTCCAGCATGGCAATGGCCATATCACGAGTGTTGCCACCAGCATCCAAGATCGCCTTCTTGCGATCCCCGATCCCAGGACTGGAATAGCTGCCTCGATCGGCCGCGGAAACTACCGCAGTCATCAGAGCCAAAGAGCCAAAAAGAGAGAGAAGCTGCATCTTTTATCAAGTCAAAGAAGAATCAATTATTTGTTGGTCAATTTGGTTGGTAGGTTTGTGATGCTCTGAAAACTTCGAGACAAACAGCTTCCTTTTATAATGGTAATTTGATACTACAGACACTATTCATAATTCAATACCTAAGATAATAGGACCATCTGATAGAATTGCAGTACCCTTCTCCCGTGTGAAAATTGGAAAGGATCATCTTCCTCATGTCTCACGTTATGGTATACGAAGGATACAAAACAACCCCCCCACTGTTTGTTCTGTGCGCATCTTTCAACATCAAACTGATATAGTTTTAGATACAACAATAGTCTACAACAATAGCCTCGGACTTCCACTAACAGCCCAAAGGAGACGAGCATACTCTCACAATTGAAAAGGGAAGTAGCTAACAAGAAGAGTCAAAGATGGACTTAGGACGTTTATCAGACCATATAAATAAGTAATATGGCATAAGGATAAGGCGTTAGACAAATGATATCATTTGGAATTGTTTTCTTTGGTTGGTAATGCATTGTAGATCTTCTCTTCAATGGCCCATTGGTGGCACTCTAGCGGAGTCTCTTCCGAACTACATTACCTATTTCAATCGGACTTCCGCCTGCTGTTAGCTCAAGTAAGAAATTCGACTGAATAGACAGAGGCCACAGTGTGAAATTACCGGCCAGTCAACATTGCAGGTGATGTATACAGATTGTTAAAATAGCGGGTTTTATCATTTCAGTGTCATATATCACTGAGCCATACCATACATTTGTTGTACCGCTAGATATCTAGTAGCTTCGAATATCCGTATTATTTATTATTGTATAACTATTTTAATATTAGCAATAGTATAAGAGATTGATATCTCATTGGTCAGATTAGGTATATGATCCAACGGAAAGGCGTTGCATTAGCCATTAGCGTATAACCCAACTAGGGACTAGGGATATAAATAGCAGAACTGAGAAAATGAATACGGGTGGGTCTACCTACCAATACCGGCCGAGCAGCGGCTTGAACCTCAGTAATTGCACGTACAGTCATGTTTCATCAAAATTTAAACCCCAGTACCTTTGCAAGGTCCGAGACTCACTTATTTCCTGCCGGTAGAACGTTGATAATATTCAAAACCAAATGTTTTAGCTCGCGTATACGCCCGGAACGAGTCTAGGGTAATATAGAGATGGAACTAGAGAGGTAAAAAAAAGAGAGAGAAAAGAGGTGGTAACCTCTCCTGAGCCCTAGTAGGAATAGGTAGGCGATATAAAAGCGGTCAATGGTGGAAGTATTGGGGTTTAAATATTAATGAAACACCACTGTAGCTCCTGTATCTGCCATCTGCCATCTGCCATTCATGCCATACATTTGTCGTACAGTCAGATTTCTGTCAGGTTGTGCAAAAGCACGCTGCGGCGAAAAGCCACACCACATAAGCATCTTCATAGCCCCACACCCGGTATGCCGAATACAACTTTGCAGACGTATTTCACCACCTTAGTTCAACCTCCCCATGCCATTAATTCGCTCTTGATTTTCTAAAAGCTAAACGTATTAAAAGGGTAGAGCCTTATTAGCTACTTAGACTTCTAAGAATGAAAGGAGAAATGGTGGATCTTTTTTCTTTATTAAAAGCGTAGAACTATTCTTGAAAAATTATGGTCAAGTAGGTGTGTGCCCGTGAATTATGACTAGGGCTAATCGGAAGTGGATAATCGCCGTACAAGTTTGTAACGGAGGACCTTCCGTCTTCCTTTTGGAAAAGTATGCAAGCGAAACAATAGACATTAACCTATGTTTTTAATGCCGCATGATGTTTCATCTTAAGCATCTCTCATTTAGGTATCCCGGTTATCATAGGGCCGAGTTGGTTTTCAAGTGACATCTCGAACAGTGAATCCACTCTGTTATAACAAGAAGATTGCTTGTTACTCTACTCTGTAGGCTAAGAGGTATTTGGTGCCTCCTAGGAGGCCATGGCTATATAAAGCAGATGGCCCTCCCAGGCTTCACTCTTGCTTCGTGCATACATTCATTCTTTTTCATTCAAACTTCTAGCCTTGTGCTTGATATTCATTCTTTTACCTCTATTCGATCACATTCTTCGCTCTCTCAGGCTCGATATTCTGTTTCACACTTCACAATGAAGTTTGCTCAAATTATTCTGGCTGCCAGCGCCGCAACCATGGCCTGCGCATACCCCACCAAGCAGAGCGCTGATGTCCAGAAGCGTGCCAATGGATTTACTTGGTTCGGCGTGAGCGAGTCCGGTGCCGAATTCGGTAATAACATTCCCGGTACTCTGGGAAGTGATTACGCCTGGCCCGATACTTCCCAGGTTAAGATCTTGAGAGATCAGGGCATGAATGTCTTCCGTGTGCCCTTCTTGATGGAGCGTATGATGCCTACTAGCCTTACCGGCCCCCTGGATGCCACTTACCTGGCCGGCCTTACCTCTGTACGTGATGTGTCTATCCTGGCTATTGATCCTCCTAAGTTCTAACAATTCCGCTTGGTAGACTGTCAAGTTCATTACCGATAGCGGTGCATACGCCGTTATCGACCCCCACAATTACGGAAGATAGTAAGTGCACTAAAACCAGAATTACCTATCCTTGTTAGATACTAATGGTCTATATATAGCCATGGCAATATCATCACCTCAACTTCCGATTTCGGGGCCTTCTGGAAGGCCCTTGCTACCAAGTTCGCCTCTAACGATAAGGTTATCTTCGACACTAGTAAGCGATCACCCCGTGGTAAATCTCATGCCATTGTTCTTGCACTAATATTATCCCCCTAGACAACGAGTACCACGACATCGACCAGACCATCGTCCTAAAAATGAACCAGGCCGCTATTAATGCTATCCGTGCCGCTGGCGCTACTAGCCAGTATATCTTCGTCGAAGGTAACGGCTATACTGGCGCCTGGTCCTGGACCACTAACAACGACAACCTGAAGGCCCTTACCGACTCCGAGGATAAGATCGTCTACGAGATGCACCAGTACCTTGATAGCGACAGCTCCGGCACCTCCGAGTCCTGCGTCAGTGCCACTATCGGTAAGGAGCGTCTCCAGTCTGCCACCACCTGGTTGCGGGACAACAAGAAGAAGGGTTTCCTCGGCGAGTTCGCCGGTGGTGTCAATGCCAACTGCGAGGCCGCCGTCAAAGGCATGCTCTCCTACATGTCCGAGAACACTGACGTCTGGACGGGCGCCGAGTGGTGGGCTGCCGGACCCAAGTGGGGATCTTACATGTTCAGCGTGGAGCCTAGCACCGGCCCTGCTTACTCTACCTACCTTCCTATCCTCAAGAAGTACTTCGTCTCTTCTTAATCCAGCTCTACCAAGACTACCGCCACTGACAGATCTGCTGCCAATCCTTTCACTGAAGTACCTTCTGCCTGCACCTGTGCTAGTCCCTTACGGGGCCCATTGCTATGTAGGAGTGCGGTGTCCTCAATTGAATTGATTGCACGTTGCGAGCTTGGGACCGCCTGCATTTAGATAAACCCCCACTGCCACCAGTGTGTCAATCAACAGTTGATCTCGGGTTGAGAAGCTGAGAGGGGGGTTTGATTGATGGGTAGTTTGGCGTGTACGCTTTTTTCAGGGTTGACTGTTATCTGCACCGTTACTTCACTTTTTCTTTCTTCTTGATTTAACTCGATTATATTATGTACTTTCAGTACCAATATCTTACAAGCATTTTGTGTTTTCCCATCAAGGCTTGATGTAGTTGTAGAACCGATCTCTAACTGTCGAGCACCATGGATTTTCTTCGAATTTTTATTTGACAGGCTGTGTGCAGACACACAATCCGCAGAGACTGCTTCGCCTCAAGCTTAGCAACTTTCAGTGCTAGAGATAATAATGTGATGGTATTTCAGATAGACAATGGGCATGCGCGACCTTTGAATACCTACGAAGGATGGATTTCCGTTTATAAAACCGGGGCATTTGTATAATCCCGGCTGGTTGTAAATAGCATTTACGATATTCGAGAAGTCTGGCGGTCTCTGACAGAAATCTGGCCGTATGACAATGTATGGTATGGGATGGCAGATCTATGTCTATATAATTGATGAGCTTTTATGGGGTACTTTAATACTAACGTATTTCGCAAGTGAGCTGCGCAGCCCCAAACACATAGTAAATGCGATGCTATATTTCAACGACCAACGTTTTTGTTTAGTTTTATTACTTCCCAATAGCAATTGATAGCGATTTTTATTACCATATATCAATTTTGAATAAATCAAGAACTTGCATTATTATGGTATCGAAAAATACATCGCTGAACTTTAAAATATATATAACTATATCTCGGTCACTAATTTATTAAATTCCCCTAAACTCTAACAAGTGGCTAGGTATCATATAAAAGGCATTAGGCTACAAGGAAAAGCTCATATAGACAACCACAACCGTTGTTGTATTATCATGTTGTCATTTATCGCTTTTACTATGTGTTTTGGGCTGCGCAGCTCGCTTGTGAAACACATTATTCCTTGACTATAGTTTATAGGCAGTCTAAATATTGCTAGGCGGGTGTAGAATAGTGTGCTATAGGGCAGTAGGTGGTCAAGGGGCGGCTGGACGTCCAAAGTTATGTGGGGAAAGGCAACCGTTTCTGGCCTCACAAGCGGTCATTTTCGGCGTCAATCCCACAGGTCTTCATATTTTAGTTGCAAAATCTGGTACAGATGAACAACGCAGTCCTATGGCGGATCTGGTGGAATTTTGCACAGTGGTTTGGTTGAACCACATAGTATATTGTACAGGCAGCAGGAATTGATAGCAAGGTCGGTCGGATCTCGCGCTAGGATGCAAGGATCGATGGGCATTAGATTTTTGATGCGCCGAAAGAGCTGCGCAAATGTTTCGTTGCGTGAGCGAAATGAAATCAAGGGATTCCGATTCCAACGGGCGGGATTATGGGTTGTTGTCATTTTTTTTTTTTTTTTTGGCAGACTTGAGGCGATTCTCCTTTAAGTAGATGAAGCAGCAAAATTGCGTCCATTACTCCTGAAAATCTGCGCCACCTCTGATAAGCAGAAAGCCAATTGAGATAGTGAACAACCAAAGCCTGATAGGTTGTGCTCGTGAGGATTATTTAGACCGTTGGTCCAAGTGATAGAAAGATTCAGAATCACCAGTCTGGTCTCAAGATGGATGCATGCTGTCGTCGGTCGACCGGGTAGATGGACGAATTCTGCGCTCAGAACTGGGCAAACTCTCCATAGATAACGTATTCCACCCTCTTCGTCCCCCCGGTTGCAATTCCCGCGGGGCCGCATGAGTGATATCAGATGTAATCTGGGAAGGATCCACGAAGCCAGGATATTCTTCGTGTTCGGACGAAGTGGGTTGCGATCGATGAGTTTGCACAAGGTCGACTAGCTTTCCAAGCACACCGAACTCGAGCTTCAACTTGATACTGTAGACCATGGCCTTCAACGTGGTCTGCAGCGAGTAAAGTCCAATGTACTCCACAAGGAGTAAACAAATATCAAGCAATATGATGACAAAATTGATGGTCAGCAACTCATACATAATTCTGGATCGTCGTCGGTCCTTGTCTGGCATCATTCTGAGCAGCTTCACGGTTTCGACGATGTAAATTCCCGAGATGACCATCTCTTGGGCACAGAACCAGGCCAATTGCATTCGCTCCATGACATTATATCCGCGAATCATGGACGGTTTTCCGATGTACGTGGCAGAGAAAGTAAGAACGGTCGTTGGGATCAAGAGAATGATCGCGTCGATGATAATCAGCCAAAGAACAAATCGAAGCACCTTATTGTTATTGACCACCAAATGAAGACGAGAGTATAGGACCAGCGATTGGCCTGGGACCATGACGTAGAAGCCAATAGTGGAGAGACTCAAAGAGAACCATAATGGAGCTAGAATAAAAAATCCCAGCAGGTAGCCAACGGCGTGAGGGACTACTCCGAGGATTACCGAGAGCAGAAGCGTCCAAAAGTAAAGTCCTCGGTAATGAGTAAAGGTCAAAAATAACAATATTAACAATTCAATAGCGTTGTATAATGCGATGGAGGTGAAAACAATCATCAATGTCCGCACTGCCACATTATTGTCACGGTAGCCATGCATCCCGTCGGGAGATTGCGATAGGTTTGTCATGGTGACTTAACTAGCCTGGCTGGGATATATATTCAATGTTGGTATTGGAATGACCGTAGAGAGGATATTTCATGCCCCGCTTAGTGAGAATCCCGGTACACTTTGCTTGAATTGTACGAGCTCCGTAGCCATGATAGTTGTGCTAGTCCGAGCAAGTCATTTGCGCCAATGGAGGTATGTTGATCCAAAGGTATCGAGATTTGGGGCTCGCTAATCGGACAAAGATGGGGGGGGTTTCGGGAGTGGATTGAGATCGGTGAGAGGATCCGATCGCAAGTTCGTTTGCCGAAGAATGCGGATGTAACTTTGGAGGAGATTCTGAGGACGATGATGAGGTCAAGGTCTCAAGGCAGGGAGTAAAGCCAAGTAAACGTTCAACAATGCAATTATATTGTACAGTGAGAATGGTTGAGTCAAGGAGAAAAGAAAAGTCCAGGGCTATCCCCGGCTTATTTGCCTCCATGCCAAGCTAAGCCGAGAAAGGGAACCCTTGGAACCGCCACACGTGAACTTCGCACCAATTTTTTTTATTTTTTTTTACTGTTATTTCCAATTTTAGAGGGAATAACAATGAGATCTACACTAATAAAATCGGATGATCTTTCTCCATTCAGATTTCAACTTTTTATCCCCGTATAGTCTAACTTTCAGATGGCTAGACCGGTAATGGCTTCTGGCTAAGTGGCTGAAGTGGTTACAGTCCCAATGTACAACCTGCAACCGTCTATATGTTCCAATATACTTCCACTTCTTTGTAAAATAAACAAAAGATGCTCGGGTGTCTCAATTACCGAGGGTGAATCTTCACGGTTTTGCCCGGGGCAGTGGGGAATATGTTCTCACATATAATTGGCCAGTTCTGCTGCGGAGAATCCAGACCCAAAATAACTTGGGGAACCGTGCGTTCGCGTTCGTCCGTGGTCTCGTGACCATGACTTCCCAAGCCATATCCCTTTTGAATCGGCATGGAAAATATGTCCCAACATATATGCATATGTTGTACTTTTTGTGCGTCTTTGGCCCGTGCCCAAGATCTCCCCGTTACAGATCTGGGCGCACAGGCCATACAGATGGCTCGCTTCGTCTTCACAAGCGACTAGTCACTCCAGAGCATACCATGATAGCCGTGGTAAGGAACCAAGGGGAATGATGGCGGCAGCCGAACAATAGTGCTATTACAACCTGAAACATGCATCCATAGATATTTTTGACCTGTCATCTTTCTGCACTACACTCAGCTCTAGAGAGAGACCTCCTAGCTTTAGAAAATTGATATCCTGCACTAGTCTTCTCTGGTCGCACTGTGGACCCCCTATCCGCTTGGATCTTATTGTTTTCAATTTTCAGATTCCTCGCGACACTATCGAGAATATTTCAACGAAGTGGAACCGGAAATTGCCTGTTGTGAGCAAAAGTCTTAAGGTACAAGACTCTATGAGAGCCAACATTGTAGATTTGATCCTGGTGAGTACCACTCGAGCCATGGGGTGTGAAAAAAAGAGCGACTTTCAGATATATCCTCTTATGGATACTAGCCTTGCCCTGGCGTGCCACTAATAACTTAGGCTCAATTTTTATCCATCCTTCACCATGTGATCTACATGCGCAGTCCCTGCAACTTTGGCTTGATTAACCAGCCTCCTTGGCTTCAATGGTCCATTCAGCCCTGTCATGAATAAATATATGCAGTATTCTGTGAATATTATTGCAGGCAAATCAATGCGATCCCTCTACCACGCGTCATGGATCCCTAGTGGGGGGTACATTTCCGGATGACCCCACCTATCATTGGATCCCTACGTGTCTGCATGCAGCCTGTCGTTTTCAGTGTATTGGCTTACTGTCAATGTACTGGGGAAAGAGGGGTATTCAGCTGGTGGGGGACATGTCCCACATAGACAAAGAAATACTTAGTTATACACTTAACGTGCCCCTGCAAGATCTTCGCAAATTGCGTGTGACGCTATAAGACTGCGTTCAACATGGAACCTACAAAAAGCAAATATGACTTTGTCATCGTAGGAGGTAATAATACACCACACACGCATGTGTCTCTTGTGCTCATCACTTAAATAGGTGGTCCAGCTGGTTGTGCCCTGGCTGCGGGGCTCGCCAAATCAGCCCAAAGACCTCAAGTCCTACTTCTTGAAGCAGGTGGACGCAATGACGATAGAGCTTTGCGAGTGGACGGAAAGCGCTGGACGACATTCATGGAAGGGAGCATGAATTGGGGTTACAAGACCACACCTCAGGAACATTGCAATGGGCGAGAGCTCGACTACTCGCGTGGAAAGGGTCTGGGAGGTGGTTCAGCAATCAACTTCGGGGTCTACGCTGTAGGCGCGCGGGACGACTACAATGAGTGGGCATCTGGGGTGGACGACGATACCTTTGGATGGAAGGAAATGCAAACCCGCTTCAAGAATTTGGAGACTTTCAATGGTGGTGTTGCACTATCGAAGGATCAGAAGTATGCCAATCCGGTTGCTTCCGACCACGGAAATTCGGGTGCCCTGCGCATCGGGTATGCAGAGGATTGGGAAAGGGACTTGTCGCTCTCGCTGGATGCATTTGAAGCGGCTGGGCATAAGCTCAACTTGGATCACAACTCGGGTAATCCCCTCGGCATGGCTGCCACTATCAACTCCGCTAGCAAGGGAAAGCGTACCGCGGCTGTTGACTTGCTTTCGAGTGCTCCTGATAATCTTGTAGTTGTCACAAACAACTCAGTACAGCGGATCTTGTTACAGGGCAAAAAGGCAGTTGGAGTAGAGACTCAGGGCCAGCAGTGTATGTCTCATTCTGAACTTTTACCATTCACCTCATCTGACGTAGATTACAGACTTCGCTTCTCGGGATGTGATTCTCTCTGCAGGTGCACTCGACACCCCAAAGATTCTAATGCATTCTGGAATCGGACCAACCGCAGACCTTGAGAAGTTCAACATTCCAGTAGTCAATCATCTCCCCGCTATTGGTCAAGGTCTCCGAGACCACTACTTTGTTCCTCTCATCCTTGCCCGTAACCCCGAAACAAACGACCGCAATTCGTTCTTCCAACACCCCGCCGCCATGGAAGCTGCAATGAAACAGTGGGAAGACAATAACACCGGCCTGTGGACCCGGTACGGCTGCCAGATCGGCAGTGGTTGGTTCAAATCAGACCGCATCACCTCCTCACCCGAATTCAAAGCACTTCCAGCATCCGTACAGGAATTTATGAACCGCGAAACCATCCCCCACTACGAGATGATCACCCACCTTCCCATCCATTTCATGTTGCCCGATATGTTCAAAGACTACAGCTATGTTGGTCTCGCGGCATTCATGATGAACGAACAATCTCGCGGCGAAGTGCGCCTGCAGTCTTCCGACCCTGGTGTCCCGCTGCTGTTCAACCCGCGCTTCCTCGAGGATCCCTTCGATCGTCGCGCATGTATCGAGATCTACCGACACCTACTGGAAGTTAGTAGACACGAGTCCTTTGCGAAGGATACCGTCTCCACGCTTATCGGGCCCGCGTCTGATTCCGACGAGGACATCCTCCAGTTCTGGAAGGATTTCCTCTCTTCTAGCTGGCACATGACTGGTACCGTCAAGATGGGCAAGGCCGATGCTAGTGACGCCGCCGTTGACACACACTTCCGCGTGCGGGGAATGGAGAACCTCCGCGTTGCTGATATGAGTGTTGTTCCTGTTCTCACTAACAACCACACGCAGGCTACAGCTTATGTGACTGGTGTTACTTGTGCTGATGTCCTTATCAAGGAATATGGTCTTGATGAAAGTAAATGATAAATAGTTTATCGTAATATTAGTAAGTCAAGATTGTTCAATAATCTCGAATTGGCCACGATTCAAATCTAGCGTACTTCGGCGATCCTCAGGTAGATGAGAATGACAATCGTTTCCAGCATATTGTTCAGTCTGAACGCCGTTGAGGTAGCAAAATATGATAGTGACTATATATTGCATGCGGCCAATGCTATTGCATTCTCACTCTCCGTCATATCAAAGATTTATTTCTCAACCTATGCTGCCGAATAAAGTTTTATTATTTATTTGTTTCATTACACAGATCCCCGGGATCATGTATAAGTAGACAACTTCACTCGAAGTGACCCGACTTTGCTTTAGCCTGTGAGAACGGACATGTAGCCACACCTCTCGCTTTGATTACCTCAATGTCGGATCTCATCTCCTCCGCCCCATGTTCCTTCTGTGGCTCCGGCCCGATCGTCATCAAGTCGTATCCTCCTGGTTGATATCGGTCTCCTCGCGACCCGGGCACCTTCCCTCCCAGTGCTCTAACCAGGAATGCGCCGAGTCCCCATTTTGACCAGAAAGTTGGTTGGACGTACCATGGCTGCAGGGTTTTTCTTTCGAAATTATATAGACGCGTTACTTGGTTTGGTGTGTCTTGCACAAGTTTAATAGCACTGGATGAAGACCGTGGAAGTGCAAGATATCGGAGAAATACTTTTCTTGCTTCTCGGATAAATGCTAGTAGGAACCAGAGGACTGGGCCAGGGGATTCAAGACTGTACACGTTAGCAAAGGAAGGGACAGGGCTTTCATAGTTAAAAGAGAAGCAAAACTTACCAAAGGCTCGTTCTCATGACATCGTCCAAGTCATTACCCAGCATCTTTCGCACAGTCGTTCTTATGAACCCAGGGAGTGACGACAATGCTGAATCAACGTAGACTCGAACGTATTGATCGTTCGTTGCCGTGGGCTTTGCCACTTCTTCCTCATACCGGACTGTCCACTCCATCAATTCAATCGCAAAGTGCACACCATTTTTCCATCCGTCACTTTTTGAAGGAAGCGCATCGAAAGGGATTCCCATGTCTTCTCCCAGGTTCTTGTGAAAGATACCGAGAGCACATTTTTCAACGTCGGTAAGCTTGCGCCATTCTTCTCTTTCAACGACAGTCACGATCTCGGCAAGACCATCACCCAGAGTATGGAGGAGATCATTATCCGTTATTTTGTTAGCACGACGGTAACGAGCATGGCTAGCAAACCCCTGGGTCAGCCAAAAGAACAACATACTTATGTTCACCCTGAAGTAAAAACAAGATAAGTTCAGGGGTGCATCCAACATACAGATAATTCATTCTAGCCACGGCTGTTGTATAACGATCAGAATCCCGAGGTTTGGACTGCACTTCTCGCAAGAGGATTTCCGTATCAACAGCGCGCTTCCCGGAATTTCGCTTGTTGTTTTGGCCTGTAACAGCGAAGAGCTTGGACATAGTCGGGATACCTCCAGCCTAGAACAATAATTGAGTTTAGTGGCATTCCCTATGGTGCTGTGGAACCGAACACAATTTTATCGTACCTTCAATAGAGCAATTTTGCGAGCTTTAGAAAACGCATGTGGAAATTCGAGCTCTTGCAACTGGTTCAATATATCATGCGCTTCTTTGACCGTCATTTCTGACAAGTCTTTCTTGCCAGGAGCGAATGGGGCCTCAATCTTCGCCATGCGGCGGTATCGAAGAAGTCCAACCAATGTTATATAGCTGATGAAGGTAATGGCAATCGTCAACCGATATTTGCTCCATAATGTACAGAGTAAGCCAGTGGCGTCCAACATTCCGTCAACGGAAATTTGAAGAGTTCGTTCTGTGTCACAACATGGTAAGCATTCAGCACAAAATTGAGGTCTCGCAGTTGCCGACTTGCCGTCTGAAGCTTGTATCTGTGAGTTATGTGAGGCTTATAAAGTCCCTTGCTTTGCGATTCTAGATGAAGAAATGTCTTAAGATGGTAGAGGATATTTAAGATATATTATACGTGGTAAGAACAATTCTACTTGCCGAGGCTCATGGTCAAGTGGATCACTAACCCAAAAAAAACCCATGGTGAGATTTAGAAATGTGAGATATTAATGGACACCATATTGTTGGGCATGCAATTCCCAACCGTTGGAAACTTCTGATGGGACCTCGGAGGTTGATCACGGTGATAATGTAATCAATTCGGGCTCCGGCCAGACATAGGTGAGCAAGGTTGGGTCCTAGCTGCATACCTATGTATTCAAAGCGAATGAACTAAGTACCATCATTTGCTATGCGCTCATTGCCAACTCAAGCATAGGATGGATGCGACTAATAAATTGCATTGGACATCGTGTCTCTAGTTTCTAAGTATCTCGCCAATCCCCATCTTTGGACGAGATATATTAATTGTCACCTTAAGATACCTTTCGCATCAAGGCTGAGCGAAAGGCAGTTTCAACATCGAATCGTCGGAAACCGGGTGCTCGTCCTAAGATAGCCACCCCGCGAAGGAGTGCTAGCATTCTTTTTTTAGAAACAGACTTCAACATGATATCAGTGCGAAAGCTCACCTCTCAAGAATGATTCAAGGTCGAGTACGTAACATTCTGGTGGTCGAGGTGATGCCGAGACTATCACATGTGTACTGTGAGTTCAAGTCTTGCTAGTAAATGAGAGCAACTTACCAGTAGTCTGGGTTTCGGAAGATGATATATATTGGGTTTCCAATAAACCAGGTTCAAGCTCAGATTGACCAGGACTCGGTGCTAAATTATGCACTGTGGGAAACAAACCAGGTCCGTCCAAGTCCACACCTTTCTCTCTAAGATATCCTTCCACGTCGCGACAATCAAACCACTGCCCACCAAACCCACAAAGCTCAAGATTACTCTGAGCCTGTTGGGCAGAATTCGGGTCACCTGGAATTGCGGGCATGGGCAGAGTACCGAGTATTCTTCGAGGGAGCCTCATCTTCGGTGGGTAGATAAAATTCCCTTTTTCATCTTTCGTCGCATAATGTGTTCCAGCTCCCCCAATACAATAAAATGGTAGTGTAGAAATCTCCAATGAACCGCCTCGTTCAGAAGTAACCAGGTCCCTAAAGTAAGGGTACATCTTTGCCCTATCCTTAAAACAGGGGACGAGTCTAAATACTCGGAAGACTTCAAGCGGATCAGAGCGTGGATCACTAAATATTCGAAAGGCATGTTCTAGACCAGATCGTTTGAGTCTTCGAGTGAACGAACTTTCCAGGAATGAATATGAATCGGGAACATTGGCTCCACCAAATCGGTCGATAGATTGCACAGTGGGTTGATCATAATCTAATCTCCTCTGTTCCTGTATGACAAGTGGGGATGGACAAAGAACCATCTCTCTGATCTCTTGATGCGGGCTGACCTCGGTTTCCGGGGGCGTTTCAATGCATGTGGAGCTTCGTTCGGCAATAGAGTACTGACCAGAAATAGCATCATTGGTGAAATGTTCATCATACTGGATGTTCCGGGATGGCTGTGGAATGGACTTTTTGGAAGTTTCTCTTGATGAAATGTCGTTGACACTCTGAACAACGTCCTCGGATGAACAAGTAAGAAGACTCAGGATACTGTCAAAATCCCTGAGAAGTTCGCAATGAGTGTCTTCTAGGCTAGACTGGAGAGTGACCCTGTAGTCTGCAAGCGAATTTCTGATTTCCTTCATCCTATTTTCGAGGAAGGCAACTTGTTTCTGGTATTGTTGAAGAGTTGCTTCTTTCTTCAATCTATAGGTTTTCTGAGCACGGCGGATTTGACTTCGCCGATCCTGTGCGGGGAATCAGAATGTATCTTCTCCACTGTTTCTCATTGATCTCGTGGAGACTAATTACCTCAGATAGTATAGCTTCTCCGGGTGCATCGAGCCTGCGCCTACCCGCGCTCCTTGGTGGACGCTTTTGAGGCTTGGTTGTCGAGTCTGACATGTTGATCTATCCCATATAGGTGCGCCCTAGATCGAGCCAAACGAGATTTTATCCTTAGTCTCAAAAATATTTGTATGGGCAAGCGTTGAGCAATGATGTGGGCATATTCTCGGTCTCTATGCGTGAAAAGCCCCGGTGGCGAAGTGCTGATAATGTAATCCGCCTCGGTCCCCACAATATACTATGGATAGTTGAGTAGTTGGGATGGATACACCAATTGGGTCAGTATGTTGGGCCGGTTCAATGAAATACCCAATGTCTCTCTCTAATTGTTGATTGAATATTCAAAAAGAAAAATTTAACCACCACGACGGATAACGGAGAGTCCCATTCTTTTTTCCTCCCGAGGTATTTCCGATGCGACGTGACATTTTGAAGTACTTAGTCACGCCAGTAGAACATGTTCAGACTATGCAGTCGTAGTATCTAAATCATGCGGTTAAGAAAAGCTTAGTCTCTATCAAGCTATGCCGTATACAACAGACGTATAGTTATAAAGTGATAGGCACAACAGGTACATAGTGTAGTGGGGAAATAGGCTCCCCACTACGCATTTGCCCCTGCTGCTTCTTCTTTTGCCATATGTTGTTATGTAAGCATTGATATTACAAGTAGCAGATAGATACAGATTGAGAATACACACTCCTACACCTCTCTGAATCCACTTCCAGGGCAGTGCACCTGGGTTCCTTTATGCGCAAGGTCGGGCATGAAGCTGAGTTACGAGTGCTGAATCGACCCGTATGCCGTAGAGCATACAGCCTTGAGCGTTCCCCTCTTCAATAGGTAAGTCGAAGCGCTTGGCTTCAAAGGACTGCCTCAGATAGCTTTATTTCAAAGGGTTAATTTAGACAATGACTGAAACACCGAATAGTACTACGATACCGCGATTTACAGCCCATCTAAACCCGCTAGCACGAAGCACCTCAAAAGTCTCAGATCGGACTAGATTTACTCAGCGAGCTTGGCACTGGGCAATACCGTAAAGTCCTCATAAAAGCAGTGGGATAGGGACCGTCCACCAAGCAGCGAAAGCCCACTGAGTACTATATGTCCACAGTTTGTGATTAGCCCAGTTGAGCAAATAAACAGATGGATTGAGTTGAAGATTGAGTTGAAGTATGAGACAGAACGAGGTAATAATAAACTCCCCCCTCAATCTACCACAATGGAGGTAAGAAAACTCAAAACACCACCGAATCACGAAGCCGAAATCAAGAGTATGGAATCACTCACTGCGCCACACACCATTACGCAAAGGGGGGACATGACATAATAGTAAAGACAAAAGGCACAGGAGATCCAGAAGAACACGCGAGATAGAACAAATGGTAAGTGTCGTCAAAACATAACGTAACACCGAAGCTGAATAAGGAGCGAGGAAAAAAAAGACACAGACGCGGGTATCGAAAGGTGATCGCAAAACGTTGGCAATCAATATGGTGATGAAAATGGCATGGCGATTAGTTGACCATGGGAAGACCGTGCGAAACCTCCTGCTTGTTCACACCATCATTTCCATCCTGGTTATCATCCGTGCGCACCCGCTTATTCTGCTGGAAGCTGTTGTTGTTGAGGAAGGTGGCGTCATCTGGGTGCTTACGCATGCCAAGTGTGGCAGCAGCGATGCGATTCAGAGAGTTCATGTCATCAGAGACAGAACTGGGGTGCTGTCCCTGGGGACCAGGGGTGGGCACTGAGCCTGAGGGGCTGGAGTTCTGGACTCCGGCAGAGGCAAGCGCCATCTCAGTGGTGCGAGGCTGGCTCAAATCGATGTTGGCAGGCAGCTCGGGGACTTCACCCTGGGCTTCGAGGAGACGAGATTGCAAGTTGATAATGTATTCGCGCAGCTGGTAATTCTCGCCAACCAGGGACTTAACCTGGTCCTTGAGGGGGTCGATATTCTTCACCTCTTCCTCGAGCTTGCGGATGTAGGTTTCCTTGCGCTGGCGGAATGCGCGCTTTTATGGTGATCAGTGAAGGACTGCGTGTAAGGTATCAAAAGGACATACCTGAGCAGCACGGTTCTGGGCAGCGCGCTTGGAAGTGGACAGCTCACGCTTTCCGTAGCTCTTGGAGCCACCGTCAGATGGGGGAGAACCCTGGGGTTGGGTGGGAGTTTGGGGCGCGCCGAGCATGGCACCCGAGATGGCGGGGTCAATGTTTGGCTGGTCACGGGGGCTAGTATTGTTGGGCTGCAAGTGCTGTTGCTGGCCCGGAGCACCCTGGGGGCGACCACCGAGGTGGTGCTGAGCAGCTAGAAGCTGGTCATGAAGGACTATAGAATCATGTTAGCAATGAGGAACAATCACGTGCGACGCGCACCCTAGTTTGCCCAAGTGAGATGAGAGGAGATGGGGGTATGGTAGATTTCAGGCCCGAAATCCACGGATCCACGAATCCCTCAGATGTAATGGCTCTAAACTACAATCACGTACCCTGATCCGCGTGATCCTATAGTGAAATGTTAGTATGGACCATAGGCAATAACAGAATGAATGATATAGATGACGCGGCAAAGCTCGAGACACACACGACGCGTCGTGGAGACATCGAGTCTCGTTCCCGACAACGCGACATAAGCGTCGCGACATCCAAGGTATCGAGGAATACTCGTCATGGGACTTTTATAGGTCTGATGACAAACACGCGTTCAAGATGATCTGCTTACCTGAGCAGAAGTCTGCATGCTTGGATGCGGCGCTGGCGCCAGTGCAGGCTGCATTGATTTAGGATAAAGGGGATTGGTGATGAAATTGAGCAGTGACTTTGCACGGCACTCTTAGGTCGACAACAATTGAGAGCAAAGACAGCTGCTTTGCTGATATCAAAATACAGTTAAAATGAGGTAAGCAGTTACAGATCCGATGCTGTAAGCAGGTTGATGGCGGGCCTGAAGGAGAAGGAGGATTACTTAAGGATTCTGAGTCAGAGGATTTGGGGCGATCGTCGATGGATTTATGTAAGGTGTTGGTAAGCGAAGTGTTTGCATTAGGCAAGCGGTGAACGGGATATTGGGCTTCTACCCCGGAGTTTATCTCTGTACTTTTTGCTATAAAACTGGCTGGTTACTATATTTACAGGCTGTGATTGGGCTTAACCACAATTTCATGATGGCTCGTCATATCCCTCCAATCGAATTAAGTCGTCGTACCCGTGAACATGTTCAAGAGGAGGCTCATTGCTGACTACGTCCCGCCCGCATCCGGCCTCGGAACGCGTTTACCTATTCCCGACCGTGTCAGCATGACCTCATTATCACCGCTTATCCCGACAGCGCCGCCTGAGGCACAAAACGAACTAAACAATCATTCGATTGAATTGGGACAACTCAAAGCGTGAATCAAACCAATATCGGTGACTATTATCTACCTAGACATCGCGTAGCAAGTTTAAACTTCTACAATATCGTAATCTCGTATCCACCCCCCAAAAAGCACTGTCAGCCTCTTACATCCCCGAGACCCTGCCCCTACATCCTAGCTCTGCACAACTCTGAAGCACTATTGTTGCTTCTTGGCATTGCCACTGGTAGGCTGTGCCTGTATAATCCCAGCTCCGATCTTCACTGACTCCGTCCAGCCTCGCTGGTGCATCCAGAAACGCGTTGCCGGGTCTGCACCATGCAAGGAGGCGCGCCGAGCATCATCTTCAAGAGAGGTGCGTGAGATATCAGTTAACTGGGCCACAGACGTGATTTCGTCCTCGTCTTTTTCCTCATCCGCCTCGGCATTGGTTGTCGACTCAAGATAGCGCTTGCGCATGAGGTAACGCTCAGCGCGCTCCTTGCGGGAATTGGGAGGCTCAATTCTGGCCATACCAGCCCGCACAGCATACCGCACAATAAGATACAGGTGTTCCGAGAAGAAGATTGTCAAAAGTAGAGCCCAGCCTTTGATATCTGTCGGCTCGCCATTGGGCCCGTGCTGTGAGTTTCCGCTGAACATGTAGACCAGCGAAGCGCTGGTGATACTTCCGACCCAGGAGAGGAATCCCAGACTATCGAGCCAGGGTCCAATCGTGTCAGTCCGCAGTGGCACAGGTCTGCGGAACTCCATGCAGATCTTGAAGAAGTCTGATCGCAACTCGACCCAGTTGTTCACGAAGAAGGAGAGGGGAACAAGCGGCCATGTGGGTGAGAAAAGGGCCAAGTATCCAAATTGAATACACATCTCACGTAGATCATCAGTCACATCGTACTCAGAAAGCTCAAGCTCGTTACGCACACGAGTGAGGAACTGCACTTCCTCGGCCGGATCATCGAAGGACACGACCGGTCTTTCGGGCGATTCTTTGTCGCCATTTCGGTCAAGCTTACCATTGCGCTCCTTGTTGTACTTTTTATATTTACGGAGTGCATGCTGTTTGATATAGGGCACGATGGTCTCCATGGCGAAGCCAACGATCTGGGCTGTGACAGTGAAGTAAACAACCTGGTTTCGCAGGCGAGCTGGGTCGATTTGGAAATGCGATCGCTTTGAGATGGCATGCTCCTTTGACACGAAAGGCCGGACTGTCAAGCGGAAGACATCGAGGTAGGGGACAATTCGACTGGCAAATGGCACGTAGACAAAGGCCGTCAGGAAAATTGGCAAATAAGAAGTGATGAAGTTGATAACAAAGACCTTCTGGGTCAATGCAGCATCGTACGCATCATTTGTCTCATGGTTCTCGTAGTCATTAAGCTTCGTTGCGATGGACGTCAAAATGGCGCTCATGGTTGGCACAAGCGCCGATACAAGAATGGTTGGGATGAAGATCTGAAGGGTAAGCTTTAGTACCAAGGGATAGGAAGGATCAGCATACCAAGTATGTTTTCAAGGGACCATTGTAGAGCTCCGAGATGAAGATCTCAATGGCAAAGCAAGTCGCAATAATAGCACCCAAAGCAATTGCTGCAACCAATGCGAACGGGATTTGAAGTAGCTGCCGTTGCATGCGCTTAGTTGCTGGGAAGACACCGTGCATCTCACCAGTACCTTCATCGCAGACCTCCTTTTCTGCCTTGAACTCTCGTCGCTTGGTCCGAACAGCTGAGACGTTCTTAGTCTGCCACCTGCAGCTCAAATCAACCTCCTGGCGCTTCCAGTATTCCACAAAGATAATACACCAAAGGCAATTGACGATAGTATAAATAATCGAATATCCGCCCAGCAGGAACCAACAAGAGAATCCAAAGACAGCCGGGAAAATCAAAAATCGGAAGTACGACTGCAAGAATGCGAAGTAAAATCCAACCTGCCGTCTATGTTAGCCTGACCAAAAAACAACAACCACTGCTACACATACACTTTCTCCAAACTTGTTCCGGATCTGATCCAAGTCATCATCGGAAAGGAAAGTTTTCGAGCTCCAGTCTCTTATCCACTTTTTATTCGTATCAACATCATGAAGGGGGAATATAGCAGTGACGTTCTTCCATTCGCCATGGTTGGGGGTGATAGCGGCGCCGCCCTCTTCCTTGGGAAGTGTAATCATCTGGTTGATCACCCGCAGGCGCTCAGCCTCGGTCTGGGGCTCAATCGAATTGGAAGGTGTAGGCTCAGCATTGCGAATTCCATATAGCCAGTCGCGTACTCTGGAAACACAAAATCAAAATTAGAACATTGGCATATAACGATCACCCATCATCACTCACCGCGACCGATAGACTGCCCGTTTCAGCCGCTTTTCCAAAGCTTTCACAAAGACGAGCAAAGACGACTCATCACCTTGTCGCACCTCGACCTGAAGACCAACCTGGGCCAGTGCTTGGAGCAGTTTTTCTAGCTGCTCAATGGCCTGCGATCGGTCTGAAATTGTTAGAATGTGCCCCCCCGCCACATCCTAGAGCTCTTTTTTACTCACCCACATCTCCGAAGCTGTAACGGATAACATAGTCCACATGGAGATTATACTCCTGGACATGATCTGGAATTGTCGCCATCACTGGGAGTGTTGAAAGAGGAAAGAAAGTGGAACAGGCAAATCGAGGTGATCTGCGGGTCAATGCCGTCACCTGGCGCTAAAGTGCTTGGTTACGGGCAAAGCCATCTGCATTACGACGCAACTTGGACGCTTGTTTTATCAACGTTCAATTACATTAATGACGTGGGTTTGAAATCTTTGTATATGAATATAGTTCATTTTCATTTCAAATATATATAATATATATATATATAACATCGAGCCATATGCAGCTGTGACCATAACTAGCTATTTCCTAAACATACATGTATAGCAGCCCACTTTCACCCTCAATCTGTAATGAGCTATACAATATAAATAAATCACTCAAAAGCAATCATCCCCAATGCCTATTGCAGTATTATACAGAACCAATCCCCCAGTCCTATCCCACCCAACACCAACCCATGCATCCCTTTACGCATCCTGCGCCAAACGTGTCAACGCATCCCCCTCAACCATCATCTTCATCCACTCATCCATACCACGCGCACCAACCTGCTCATAGAACTTAATACTAGGTTCATTCCATGTGAGCACACTCCACTCCAACCGCCGACCCGACACCTCAAGCACCTGCTTAGCAAGGTACTTGAGCAACTTGAAGCCGTACCCATGACCCCGCGCGCTGGGCTGCACATACAGATCCTCGAGGTAGATACCAGGAGCGGACCTCCAGGTTGAGTAGTTGTAGAAGTACAGGGCCATGCCGACGGGGATGGGGTTGGGAGTGTCGGCAGTAGGTGGCGGGGTAATGAGAGCTGTGTAGACAGCGCCGCGCTTGGGTGGGGTATCGGGGAAGGAGAGGGTTGCTAGGAGGGATTCTTCGGTGGCTTCGACTTCATGGAGGGCTTTTTCGTAGTCGGCTAGTTCGCAGATGAATTGGAGGATGAGGGGGACATCTGCTTGGTGTTAGTTGGGGTGTGTCTGTGCTACGCGCGAAGCTTTTGAGGTCAATGCACTTGCCCTCGGGGGTCGCGAGACGAATGGTGGGTTGGTCGGTCATGGCGTTGGAGAGAGGACGTAGGTAATCCATGATGAAGTACAGAATTTGAGAGATCTTTTTACTTTCTTGGGCTTTTGTACTTGCTAGTATAAGCGCGCCCTTCCAATGACAACCCCAGGATTTTACTATCCCGGATTAGGCAATATTACCGATTTTCTTTAAATGTTGAATTCAACTTTAGTTTACATGAATTTTCAACTTGCCTCAAGTGATAGTTGTATCTCAATGCTTTCTTGACAGGCAAAGGGATATCAATGGATATGACACGCTTTTTTTTTTTTTACTTTGATGGAGGAAAACATTACTATCTCTACAAAATGATATTGTACAGAACAAAGGACTTAGATAGGCAATCCACGCCCATGGGTATAAACGCCAATTATTTGGACATGATGGCCGACATCCACTTTTGCTCATCGGTTCTATGTTCGTTAGTGACCATTGTTAGAAAGAAAGTTCAGTAGGAAACTCACCGATCGAAATGGAGCAGCATTCCTAGAACAGGGATCAGCTGCTTCTGGTAGTTCTTATCCCTCTGTTCCAAAAATTGGAGGAGGACATTCTTCAAGTACATGTAGTCAATGGATGCATTGCTGGGTGGGCCGAGGGGAGTCTCGGTCCTGCCAGGAGATACGACTGCCCGACGAGATCCTGAATCTGTAGATGACCGCGAGGATTGTCGACCGGACGGGGAGCCACGCAGGCGGACGTCCTCTCCGAGTGTCTTGTGGGATTTTCGAAGCTTCTCTAGTCGGTTGTTTGTCTCTTCCACTGAACGACGAAGCTCTGCCTTGTCCTTCTCGAGATCACGAACTTGCTTCTCACTTTCGTCGAGGGCATCGCGTAGACCAGCCATGGCCTGTCGAATCTCTGTCACTTCCTGTGATGACTTCTCGGATACTGACTCGAGCTCATCACGACGGCGCCGCCAGTCCTTTTGGGACTGTTCAAGCTCCTCCTTGTCCTGTTCTGCCGTGCGCAGGGCGCGCTCGGCTTCACGGACCTTGCCCTTAAGTTCTTCCATCTCACGAGCACGGCGACGACCTTGGGTGCTGGCCTCATCTTCGGCACGGTCTCGCTCTTCGATGGCAGCCTCCATACGTTCCTTGAAGTCTCGCACCTTGGACTCCGAACGACCCTCAATATCATTGAGCAGACGGCGCATGGTCTCGCCTTCGCGAGTTCGCTCGCTTAGCAGACGGTGAGCGTCAGCCAATTCTTCATCCAAGCTCTCGCATCGCTCACGGGCCTCCTTCATTTGCATTGCAACTTCCGTGGTCTGGTCACGCATACTGTTCAATAGACTCTGGGCGCTGCTGTGCTGGGCTGTCTTCAGCTTGATCTCATCTCGGAGGCCTCCGAGTTCCTTGTTCAATTGAGAAATCTGTTCGTCCATCTCGCGCATCTTAGCGCGAGTACTCTTTAACCCGTCTTGGGCCTTGGAGAGGTCGCCTGCAGTCTTGTCTCTGGCGTTGATGGCATCTTGCTTTTTGCTCTCGGCAGAACGCAGATTAGATTGGATAACAGTAAGGTTTTCCTCCGCCTTCAATCGGCTGTCGGTCTCCTGTCGGATCTTCTTATTGAGGGTACCCACTTCTGCGTCACGCTCTGAGATCTTCGACTTGAAGGTCTTCAGCTCAGCACGCAGATCCTCATGCTTGCCCTCAAGGGCCTTCAAGTCGGAATTCTTGCTAGTGAGGTTTTCTTTTAGAGTCTTCAACTCCGAAGACTCAGCGCGTAGGCTGCGCAGCTCAGGTTGAACCTTCTGAAGAGTTTCACGGAGGTCTGTGAGGTCTTTGAATCGAGCGGCAGCCAGCTGCTGGGCGGCGGAAAGATCTGTCTCCAGGGTAGCAGAGCGGACCTTGAGGTTATCGAATTCCGCTTTGAGTGACGCATGCACCTTCTCCGAGTCAGCTGATGTCGAAGCATTGCTAGTGCGGAGTTCCGCCAATTCTTTTTCGAGCTTGCTGATAGTATCTGCAAGAGAAGTTTTTTCTGCTGAAAGCTCCTTGATCTTGTCCTTGGCTGTCACATGCTCCTGGCCGATGTTGACAAGGTCATCGCGCAGTGACTCAATCTCCTCCTTCAAATTGTCCTCACCTTTCAGCTTAGAACTAAGACGGTCAATGGCGGCCTCCTTTTCGGACAATTGCTGGGTGAGGGATTCGATCTTTTGCTTGAGTTTATCCAGCTCTTTGTTAGCGGAGGCAGGCGCTTCTGTAGGCGATTGCTCTGAAGGAGCTGCATCAGCCGGCTTGGAAAGTTCCTCTGCTTTGCCACCCTTCTTCTTCTTTTTGTTCTTCTTCTTCCCTCCACTACCGCCACCGGCAGTAGCTTGAGCAGGCTGTGTCTCCCCTTCGGTCGGGGCAGGAGCAGGAGTAGGGACAGTAGAAGTGGGCTCTTCCTTGGCCGGGACCAGGGTCTTCACGACTTCTTTGAAGTCGGCCAACTCCCCAGCGAAGACTTTCTCCCTAGCAGACACCCACGCCGTGTTCTCTTTCAAGTTCTCATCCACAAACTCGAAAATGTCTTGTAGTTTAGCAGTATATTCGCACCTCTCGTCGATTTCAGTCTTCATTTGCAACACGGTAGATTCGCTTTCCTTGAGCTGAGATCGGAGGCCGTCAACCAAACCCTGGAGCACAACAAGCTTTTTCCCGTCGGCTTTCTTCTCCTCCTTAGTCGTCTCCAACTGAGCAGCGAGGTTCGGATCAGGCTCGGTTCTTTCAGAGGCCTGTTTCTGGAGCTTGTCGATTTCCTCGCTCTTCTCCTTGACCTGCAACTTAAGCTTATCAACTTCGGATGTGGTTGATTTGAGAGATGATTCCGCAGTTGCTAGCTTCGCCTTCAGGTCATCAAGATCGGCCTTCTTGGAAGTTTGCAGAGTCTCAATCTCGGCATCCAGATTGTCCTTAGTTTCGCGCAGCTCGACAAGCTCGCGGGTGGCTGTCTCCAAATTCTGCACCATGCCCTCAGTCGACTCGCGGGTGACAGACATATCGCGCTTGAGGTTATCGACCTCGGTTCTAAGGTTCTCAACCTCTTCTTGCTTCTCCTTAAGTTCGCTTTCCAGTCGGGGAACTTCTTTATCAAACGAGAAGAACTCTTCACTGGCATGTTCCCCGGTTCCATCTGTGCCCTTGGTTGTCTCAGTCTTAGGTTTCTCATTTTTGAGGCCTGTAACCTCATCCAAAGCTTCCTTGGTAGCCTGCTGTGCTGCTTCGAACTTCTTTCTAAAGTCTTCTCTTTCTTCGGTGACGCGCTTGAGCTCTTCCATAACCATGTCGCTTTTCAAGGTTGATTGGTTGAGGTATTCCGTGAAAGCCTTGGGTTCGCCGATCGAGGTGAGCGGGGTATTCTCGCGCAAGGCAGCTTCGAATGGTTCAATGGATAGGACGCGCGAGTGAGCGGTGCGGTAAGCCTTGAGCAATTCTAATACACTCAGTTAGTCTTGCGCCCTACATTCTGATCAGGTAGATGCATACCATGGTATCGGGACTCTAGCTTATCAAGTCGTCGGAGTTTCGCGCGAACATCGGGTGGAAGCACAGCCGGAGTCTCCTTAGCCTCTGTCTCCTGCCCTGTCTCGTTCTCGGGCGTCTCCGCCGGTTTGCCTTCGGCCATCTCGCTCTCTCCCTCGTTAGAGGCGCCTACTTCCGAAGCAGCCTCTGGTGTATCTGCTTGGGGGGTACCAGACCTGCTGGATTCATCATCACCGATAGTGAATTCAGCCTCAAACTCCTTGGGGTCGGGCCCTCGGATGGGGGTGGCGGTGTTACGTCGCGGACGGGAGGGCTGGCTGCGTCCGGGTGGACGGCGAGCGGAGTTAGAGCGTTCGATGTTATCTTGGGCGGACTTTTGACGTGCTTGTTCCTCTGCAATGCGAGAGTCGATAGCGTCGCGGAGCCGCTGTGACAGGTGTTAGTTAGAGAGGCGCATCGTCAAAAGGGCGAATAGGTACCTGAAACATTGCCGCGGTTCTGAGAACCCAAACGACAATAGAATGTAGAAACTCAAGACCACTGGCAAAGGTGTTTATCAAAAACAAAGAGAATAGCAATGGGCCGCAAAGGAAAGTGAGGGGGAGCATTGGTTTCCAAGGTTGCGTGGCCAAGGCGGAACTGCCATGTGGAAGGTCGGTTTCGGCTGTTGATAAGTTGGGAGACTTGGATTCATACTAATAGTACTATGTAGGATTATTATATTATATTTTATTGGCTATTTATTTATATTTTTAGGATAATTGAATCTAATTTAATTTAAATTGCTATTTTTGTTATTTATCTTGGTCGAATTGGTCTTCGAAAATGCAATGGCGCATACATATATTTGTTGTGCTTACTTGTAGAACACATTAGTTAACTAGTTAATGGGGGTTTTATGATTCCTTAATTTACAGGCCCGAAGGATAATATTTATCGCTTAGATTTTCTCTTTAATTATTAATATATATCAAATTGAGTCTGCGTTGCTACCTATTTGTACTAAGGCTTTGAAGATTGTAAACAATTACATCACTGTGGATTGGCCTATTATAACCGGGATATTTTGGTAGAATCATAGGATCATAGGATCATGGAATTATAGAATATTATCATTATAATATTATAATAATAAAATATTGCTTGGAATATAGAATAACAGAATACATATTATAATACTCGGCGTGATAATCTCACTCCGCCTCGGCTTCTAAACGTAAAGTTGCAGGTGACTTGGAACTAATCCACCTCACCTATCCCTCTCTATCCAACCTACACCTACGGATTACAGTGATGCTTTCAATCTTCAGGCCTAATGGGCCCACGGTTGGGTTCAACTCTGCATTGGTCTAAGTCAATCTGAGTTAGTCTCAACCTTAGACCTGGAACACAAAGCGGAGCTCTCCAATCTTGCATGTGGTTAACATGGCTGGCCTGGCCCCGTCCCTCGCCCTCAGCCTAACGGCTCCAATTTCAACCTCCATTAATACACTCGCTTCCGGCGCCTATCTCTCCTCCCCACCGTCCCCTCCAACTCCCTCAATCATG